AAGCTCGCAAATGTGAGGGGTCCAAGTCAGTCGGCTCCAACCCAGAGTCAAGCGATCCCACGGAAGAGGCTGTAGAACGAGGAGCCTCAACGACTGGTGAAGTTGCAGACAGCGGTGTCACCCTAGGAGGAGGCATCGGGAGGGTCGACCTCCACCTCCTCCTCCTCCTCCTCCTCCTCCTCCTCCTCCTCCTCCTCCTCCTCCTCCTCCTCCTCCTCCTCCTCCTCTTCATGTCTTATCTCTATTGTCCCTCCCTCCCTCCCTCTCCTCCCTTGCTCATGGTGCGCTTGGTGCGAACAACACAGCCGCACGCGCTCTGGGTATCTCGCTGAACAAGCTGAAGCGAGCCTGCCGCCAGTACGGTATCCCGCGCTGGCCGTACCGGCAGGTTCGGAGCATTCGAAGCACCATCCATAGCCTCAAGAATGCCCTCGAGAAGTGCGACAGCGACATCGAACGAGCCAGCCTTAAGGACAGGCTTGAGTCTCTCATTAAGAAGGAGAGCCTGGTGTGCAAGTTCGCCAGCTGCGGTGAGGATTGTGGGAGAGCGTGGGTTGGCATCGAGAGAGGGGGGGTTGTGGTGGGCTTGTAGTGGGAGGTTTCACCTTTTGTAGTAGTGACGATTACAATTGCCTCATATGCCATGTGCGCTATGTGTGGTGTTGTCGACTTTACGGCCTCATGCACTGATAATGATAAAGGACTACTTGTACCCCCCATGTTCGTCTTGTAGAGCGTGTGTGTTTTGTTTCTCGCGCGAAGGATATATCTAGAGCACTGCCCGCGTCGTACTCACGACCATGGCTTGCCGCGTCCCCTAGAATATATATTTGTCAATCACACTATTACATTGCTCCACGAATGTTTTCGGAAACGATGAGCTTGAGGCACTCCACTGGTACATGTACGCACCATAAGCATGTTATCCGCCCACCTTCCCATGTCCGTAAGTCGAGATATAGCTGGCCCTCTTTCCCCGTCTTCTCTTCCGCCGCAGGCCTCACGGGACCTCTTCGAAACATGCTCTTCAGCTCCAAACCGGAAAGTATCTGCGACGTACTGATCAAGGACATCGTGGAGCAGTCGGGGCGACCCATCGGCGCCGGGGGAGCTGGCCAAGACCAAGCTAACGTGGCGGGGTTGAAGCGCAGGAGAGAGCAGGGAGAAGGAGTGGGGGTGGGGGTGGGGATGGTGGGGCACGCAGATGGGATGTCGATGCCACCGGGGTACGGTTCGGACAAGCAGCACGTCTGGTGAGCGAGAGGGAGAGGCAGTTGGCGGGAAAAACGGGCCATGTGATCTGACGCTATTGTAGATCGGGGAGGAGACGATTGCATCGGAACACTTGACATTACGCATTAAACAGCGGTGGGAAACGAAGATATATGCATGGGAGGTGAGACAGCAGTGAGAAACAAAGACATGTGCATGGGAAGAGATAGAGGGAAAGGCAGACAGGCAGGCAGGCAGGCAGGCAGATTTTCAGTGAACAACCAGCCCAACAAGCGATGAATGGTTTTTGCTGCATGAGCGGTTCGTGTATCGTTTAGTACTTGGCCTGACTGACTGACCGTCCACCGCCATTGTGTCTGTCCTATGCATAGGATGCCCGCGAACATGTCCCCGAATATGTACCGGATGCCTATGGGACCGGCAGGAGGGGGTCATATGCCCCCCCCCGGCATGGACATGGGGATGCAGTACTTCATGCCGCCCGATTCCACCGGCGGTATGGGCTACATGGACGGGAGCCAGCACCACCACCATGCTCCAGGGGCGGGGGCTCAGCCGCAGCACCAGGGCCAGCACCCCCAACAGGCGCAGCAGCAGCAACTCATGCTGATGCAGGTGTGTTGTCGTGAGCAGCGTTATCGTTGTTTTTGATCGTGTGGGGATTAATGTGATGGTGTTTCAAGTTTCAAGCCTCCGCCAGGTAGATACTTGTACATGTTTCCCCTCTGCGTGTGTATCATGACTTCACTATTATAGTGGCGAGAACCAGCAGGCACCGGCTAAGGGGTAGCTGATATTATAGCAGGCGGCCTGTGCTTCACGTTTTTGCTGCCCACCCATCCCTGTACGAGTCACGCCAGCCTTCCGGTGTTGACGAATTCTCGCTCCCCTCCTCTCTCGGCCTCAGTCGAACCCGGGCTTCGCGATGCAAGGGGGCTTCGTGCCGGTGGGCTACGACTTGTACAGCCAAGCCGCACCGTTCGCCGGAGCCGGCATGGACGGCCTCTCTGCCGGCGCTCCGGGGGCTGCTCACCCTCTCGTTCCCTACATGCAGGGGGCGCGTATCCCCGGTGCTACTGGTGCAGGTAAGCGGCAAAATGGGGGGTGCCGCAAGGGAGATGGAGATGGAGATGGAGATGGATGGGGTGGGCAGGCGGTGCCGAGTTCGCTGGTTGGTGGGGGAACAACCGTGTTTTTGTGCGTGTGTGTTGTCGGTTGATTATGATTGATACTTTATTCTGCTGGACGATGGCTAATGCTTTCGCCGTCGATTCTGTGGCACTTTTACATTCCATGCAGCGTACCCCGTGGTGTGGTTTATCTCGTCCGTCCCGGCTCGTGTCCCGTCCCATGCAGCAGTGCTGTGCTGGGATAACGTTGGATACCCCACCGCCTGTAAAAGTGTCGCAGGCTTAGCTGTCTCGCTGTTTTTTCTTTTTTTGGGGTCTTGTTGTCGATCCCTCTCGAACGCAAACCGTGCGCCGAAAATCCGTAGGCATACAAACACACGCACGCACAACAGTTAGCGCGGGCTCAGTGTATCCCCCCCCCCCCGCGCGCGCGTTTTGTTCACAACAGGCGATGCGATGCGGGCGTCTGCAGCGCACTACCCGCAGCAATGGCACAGTGGTGAGGCGGCGGGCCTAGGTGGCAACGTGGCGGCGATACTCCAACAGCAACAGCAACAATTCATGCAGCAGAGACGGCTTCATCAACAACAGGTGTGTTCATGTGTTAATGCAGCGGCCTCTCTTCCTTGGGACCGCTCAAGGCGCATGTAACCGCAACAGCAGCACTAGGGAGTGTCGCTGTTGTAGCTGCACTGCTTGACGTGATGCACGCTGACCTTGTTCGGTTGAGCCCACAGAAGCTTATGTAGACATGTTTTTTTACCCGCGGACCTGGTACATATATCGAAAGCACTTTGTGAACGGTCTCCCGTGTCGTACAAACAGAGTTAGCACCTCACGCGCATTTTCGTTTGGGTTCCTCTTGGTCCATGTACCGGGGAAAAGCTAGCTTAGCCTCGGTCTACCCTCGACCTCCGCAACCTTTCGTATGAAACTGGTGTCCATGTTTTCTTCGTCTTGACTCTAACTGGTGTCCATGCCTCCCTCTGGTTGCTGTGACGTTCCTGGACGCCGTTTGTCTCGGTCTCGTCGACCGTGGTGTTTCTGCGTGCCCCAAGCCCTTTGCGTACGTGCCCCCGCAATCGGCCGGCATTTACGGTCGAGATCCGCGTGCGGACCAAGGCGGCGAGGTTCCTGCTCCTCCTCCCCCTTCTCAACACCAACAGCAGCACTTAGGGCAGCAGCTCCATCAGGTGTGGCAACTCCAGCAGCAACAACAACAACAACAACAACAACAACAACAACAACAACAACAACAACAACAACAACAACAACAACAACAACAACAACAACAACAACAACAACAACAACAACAACAACAACAACAGCAACAGCAACAGGAGGCCAGCGGCGCCAACGGCAACAGCAACGGTACTACTGCCGGTACCTCCAAATCGGTGCCAACAGCGTCCTCAGAGTGCCCACAGAGCGCGAGCGGTGGAGGAGCGGGCGGAGCATATCCCCATCGGGCCAACGAACAGGCTTCGTCGCGGACACAGGCCGAACGGCAGATGCGGAATCAGGCATCCCCGGGCACGTCTCCGTCAGGTGGCAGCGGCGACGGCGGCGATGTTGGAGTCACGCCCACGGGTAGCAACAGAGTCGTCGAGGCTGGGGGAAGAGGAGGAGGAGGAGGAGGAGGAGGAGGAGGAGGAGGAGGGGGGAGAGAGGAGAGCCGTGGTGACGTGGCGGAAGACAAGAAGAAGAAGAAGAAGAAGAGCAACGGCAACAACAGCACCCCGCAGATGGCAACACAGCACCCGACCGGGCTCCCGCGGTCAGGCTCACCTGTTTCGGGACGCTCGGGAGAGCCGCCATCGCCCCTCGAGCGGCAGGAGCAACAGCAACAGCAACGCGGCAAGGGAACAGAGCAGCCAGGGCCGTCAGGTCGGGGTGTACGGGCTGCCTCGTTCAACGACGATGGCGATGGCGATGGCGATGGCGATGGCGTCGAAGGTGGCGACCGTGGCGGTGGTTCTGACGGCGCTGCGACCGAGAGGTCTTCCCCCAAGATCAAGCGTGGCGACGGTGGCGGTGGCAAGACCGAGAGTTCGTCTCCCGATGATAGCGACAGCGGCGGTGGCGGGAAGCGGAGTGGTGGTTCCTCTTCGCGTGAAGCTGAGGCTGAGGAACGCGAAGGCGTGTCCCAGCAACCACGGCAACGGCAGCAGCGGTCGCAATCGCCCAACGCCAAGAAGGAGGCCGGCATGTGGCGACAACAGCAGCAGCAGCAGCAGCAGCGGCAGCGGCAGCGAGACCAGCGGCGAGACCCGAAGACGCAAGTGGTCGGGTGGATGTCGGCCTCTCCTTCTCCGTCCCCCCCCTCCTCCGCTCCGTTGGGGGGCGGTGCGGCCTCATTCACGACCACGACCACGACCACGCAGGAAGCTGAACTTCTTTGCGACGCCGCCGATGCGGGAAGACGCACGGCGAAGGCCAGAAGTGACGACCATCTGGCTAGAAGTGACCATCGGGCTAAGGGTTGCTACAGTGGCGGCGGCGGGGGGAGCAGAGGGCGTGACGACAGCTCCGACAACAGCAGCGTCGGCGGCGGAGACGTAAGTAGCGAGGACGAAGCGCCCGGGAGCCAAGGGCGGCCGGAAAGGGGGGGCACGGCCTTCGGGCGAAAGGCCGCTGCCGATGGACCAACCAGAGCCGTCGCTGCTGTCACAAGCGGCCACCGGGAAGAAGGGATGACACCAAGTGACTGCAAGAAGCGCGACGGGGTTGGTGGTGGTTATCGCCGGACAGGAAACGGTGGGGACGGCGGTGACATGGCGCGATCGCGGTCTTCTTGTTCGTCGTCCATCTCAAGCGAAGAAGAAGCCGAAGGAAACGGGGAGAAGGAGGCCGCAGAAAGGGGTGTGGAAGGCGACGGCATGTCGGGCAACGGGATCGGGAACCCCGGGAATTCCCCCCCCCTTCAGGGTTGGTGGGGAAGAAAATGGAGAGATGGGGGGGGGGGGGGGGGGGTCGAAAGACAAGCGGGGTGATGTGTTATAGTATCTGGCGGGGTTTTTGGTCCCATTAGACGGGGGGAGAGGAAAGGCAAGGCTATGGCAGCGAGATTTTGTTGTTTTTCAGTAGTCGGCGAACCCCACACCTACCTGGCCGTATGGGCCGATAGGAGCAAATCGCCAGGCGGTGAGGATTCTCAAAAGCACGCCATTGCTGCACCCCGGGCGGATTTTCATTTTCGTCCCATCTTCTTTTCATGCTTTTTTTTGGCCTTTTCCCGACATCCGTCCATGAAACCCGCCAAAAGGGGTTAATTCCAAAAAAATTTTTTGTGAAAAAGAAACATCGCCCTCCCTTTCAATATTTCCGGTCAAGGTGGGGGGGGGGGGGGGGGGGGGGGGTGAACGTGAATGTTTGTTGTGTTTGTACAGAGTGAGTTGGAGCAAAAGGGTGACAGGGTTCTTTGATTAGCGTGAGAACTACACGTGACCACCCAAAATGCGTATCAATGGGCTAACAAGCCTTCTTCACTCCACCGAGCGTTGTAGTTGGGGTCTATGGGCGGGGTTACTGCGGCGGCTTGCCGTGTGAGTTTTGGATGTCGCCGCCGCATGGAGAGCGTTGTTTGTTTCGACGACTGCTGTGAGGGAATCACTCTTGTGTGGGGAATCTCTTCATGCACATACGCCCGATCGCCCTTTTTGGGTGTATGTTCGTGCTAGCAGCCACCTTGAGGACTTGTGAGTCAAAAGTCAGCCAGAATCAGCACTGCTGCATTATTGGGGAAGAACTTGACTCTGAATGGCCTTGCCTCCGAGTTGCAACTACCCTAACTTTCACCGCTCTGCGCTGCCTTTGCTTATGGGGTGTTCGTGGTGGAGCATTTGTACGTGCGCTGGCTAGGAGGCCAGACACGAAAATGGAATATTTTTCCATACTTTTTACTACAAGTGTTTTCGATTGGGTCGCTGTTTGTGTTGGCTTTATTTAGAACAATTATCGGCATCGCTCGTTAACAGGAAGTGCATACGTGCTTGGAAATGCGTCTGGTTGCCCCCTTCGATATTTGGTGAGGCGCACTTTTGATTTCTTGTCCTTTGTCTTGTGTCTCGAGCTACCGACCGACCACGAGCCGGGAGCGACCATTAAAAAAAAGCCAACATGCACAGAAGCGCATGAGAGGATAGGAGAAAGGGTGGTTCAAGAAGGGAAGTCTGTTAGTGACCCGTCGCGTCGCGAACAGTGAAGGGCGTGCGGTGGTGATTGGTGGAGAGGGTGTGATTGCTCAGATGCTCCAAGTCTTACTGGTCGTCTTTTACAAGTACTCCTATTTAATATCTTCATGGTTTGCTTGAGGACAGGGTATTGTATGGGCATGGGTATAACTCTGCATAGCTTGACGTTTTTTCATGCAATGTATGTATAGGAGGTTGGTTTCGTCTTTTACGCTTCCTTCCCAAAGTATAATCAACGAAGAGGGCAATGATTGTTGCCTGGATGACTTTGAGCGATTTCTGTAACCGACGAGGTGGGGGGATAGAGTTGATTTCCATGTCTCTGTCCGTGTCCGGGTTACACTGGACAGAATCGGACTGCTCTGCCAGATTGCACAGTCTTGTCTCGATCGACTGACTGTGTGCAGCCTTGTTGGTAGTATTCACGTGGCATTAGTTCGCTGGTTTATGTTAGCGTTGGTCTCTAGTCGCTGGGGGTACACTCGTCCTTGCTGTCGTGAAGGGTGGACATGGGCATCTAGATCACCAAGTGGAAGCATCATAGACTGCTCGGTGTAGGATTTTGTTTTTTCATGTAATGTTGTGAGTTCGCTTGCTTTCGCGTCCTCTGAATTATTCTCATCACGAAATTGAAGCACGTCAGCCGCAGTCTTGATTGTTATAACTCGTCCTTTTGCGTCTGGTCGCCGTGATAAATGGCGCATGTAAATTACTCTGTTTGAGGTTTGATGACAACACAACCAGCAGCCTTACTCTTCAATATACATATGCATCTGGTATAGTAGTAAAGGGTGACAGTTGAAGCTCGTCACTTGTTCACTTGTTAGGTTTCTGCGGTCTGTAGAGTTGCCAGTTTAGTCGATTTTGGGGAGGGATAGTACAATGGGGGCAACTGACATCATCATTAAAATTATCAGCGGTAAAATGTGGAGTGTTTTTCACCCCCAAGTTTGGCGAGTTGGGCCGGGGAAACCTAGATGAGATGGCACCAGAAGACCAGAAGGGTCGACCAAGTGTTGTTTTCGGTATATGATACAGTAGCACATGTCGGACATCACTTTCCGACGTTGCCTTAGGTTGGGAGGTGTCTACAAGTCAAGTCGTATTGTTTTCTTTGTAGCATAGATCATATGCATAGTGTAGTTGTTGGGTGTGTTTGGCGTTGGGCAAGCTACAGCTGAAAATCACTCTCGGGGAAATAGAAATATCCCGTTCTTGTGTAAAATCGAGTCAGACGTGTCGCTGCGGAGAGCTGTGTTGGGTGTGTCTGTTTCTAGTTCTTGCTGGTGACCGTGCGTTGTGTCGAAGTTGCCGGTAAGTCTTTAGAGTCAGTCTACGAAAGCACGCAGTCCCCAAGTCCTACCAAGTTCATGCGCTCCCTTCGAGGGCAGCAGACTTGCCCAGAAACAAGGACGAATGATGGACGAACAATCTCATTCATGTTTGTCTCCTACAAAACCATGGTGCGTTTTGTCCAGGCGCACGCTTGAAACGCGCTAATTCCGAGACTGTGACCGTCGGCCAACCTCCTACGAGGCAGTCCTGTCCTGTTTTCATTGGTCAGCCGGTTAGCCCGGTCAATCCTGATCTTATGAGCAGAAGGCTCATGCTTTGACTCCGTCGCACCACCAGGCGTGCAAGGAATTTGCCTTTGACTCCGCAACCCGCCCCACACTGCATGACGCCTTTCGTACCACGGTTAGACCATGATATACCATGGGAGTACCGTGGTATCAGCGCGGGACAACAGGCGCCGATATTGTCCCTTCTTTCGCGGCGATACCTATTCGGAAGAAACATTATTCCGAAAATGCGAAAATACCACGTCTAACTTAAAAATTTTCCGTTCTCGCGTATGCACATTCCACAACGGAACACGAGCGGGGGGGGGGGGGGGGGTCCGCAAGGAGTGTACGCACACAAGTCGTCTTTCCGAATGATATAAGCACCCTCCCTTGCTGCCGCATATGGAGAAACCGAGCGAGCACCATAGTTTTGGCTCGGGGGAGGGGGTGACATCTCAGGTTAACTACGTATCCTGATTCTTACAATGGGTCGTTCCAAGGCCACGACACGCTATAATACCATTTTAATAGATTTTCCTAGTCCCACCACGGCTGGACCGTTCGTGTCTCCTTTCGACGGACCCTTCGAATGGACGTTGAGAAGGTGTAGCAAACAACGGACCAAGCCTTTGACACGATCGACAAATCGCATTCCCTCGATCAGAGGCCCGTCGATCACTACCCAACAAGGGGAGGGGGGGGGGTGTTCGCAACATTTTAATGAGATATTTCTCGAGAGTATGCATGTCGGGAGACCTCGGCATCACCGTCTGACTCGCTTGTCGGCTTGTCGGCTTGTCGGCTTGTCGGCTTGTCGACTTGTCGGCTTGTCGGGCAGCTTCACACAGACACCCGGAGAGAATGGACCAAGCCTGCGCCGTCTTCGTAGACACCGGTGTTTATGGCCACTTGAGATGTTCTGCCCCGGACCTAACTGGGGTACCCATTCGTCCATCCCTGGCGTTGAATCGTGAGTACCCCTAATACTGCTGACGGTACCCTCCCCACTCTTGTTATTGGTTGTGTTATAGGTTGTGTTCCCGACACAAGCCAATACATGCGTAATGTTCACAGCCTAATGTCCTCTTCTCAGCTCGAAACACCAGCTACCGCGCCTCTACCGCACACTCGAATCTCACAAAGCCATCACAATGCCTACCCATCCGCCGATGTCCTCGTCTCGGCTCAAAACACCAGTCATCCCGTCTCTAACACACCCCTATCCGTATCCCTACGTGTATGTACAGCCGCAGCTACACGCGCGCTCTCCGTCACCCCGGGCTCCGCCCCCTCCTCCGGTTCCTCCCAGGAAACCCTCAACACCTCCCGGATGTTGCCTTTCCCTGTGTCGATCACGGCCACGTCGGAGCACACCAGCCTCCTGGACGCCTCCGCAGCAGCAGAACAACGTCTGGCGGCAATCACCTCTCGAAAATACTGCGTGCTGCCCCCGGTGCCGAAGTAAAACCGCTTGGAGGCCACCAGGGCTTGCCCGCCCGGTGCAAGGTGTCTCGCCACCATGTCGAGGACCTTTTATCATTGTTGATATTTACAGAGAGTGTGCGTCGCAGCCGGTTTACAGTAGTAATTGTTTGGATTCCGCGGCGTCGATGGGATTGGGTTGATGGGTCGATGCTGATGTTGGTGAGGCTCCGCTTTGTACGGTCGGTGAGAGCGCACGCTGACCTTGCGAGAAAACTGAATGTGTCGAGCGAAGGGTGATCATCATGTCATTGTGCGGTACAGGACACAACAAAACCACCGGTGCCAGAAACTGATTTCTCCTCGGAGAGGTACATCCAAGCATCTACCATATGGGGATTCCGCTTTCGAGTAGTATATCCATGCTGGGTAACCGTTATCTACTCGAAATCATGGCCTTGCCGTAGAAGGCAATTCAGTCACATTCACCACAACACCGGCTTTCACACAGTGGCTGCGGCTTGGTCGAAAAACACCAACGGTATCGAAGCCTTTCTCAAGACCTGCGGGAGTGCTCAAGGACTATCCTTTCAGGCTCGGAGGGTTGTCCATGTGTGCGACGCGGAGTAGGCGACGTGCGGTCGTGTCTCACCTTGTCGGCAACCGCAGTGGTGTAGAGAGTCTCCGCCGTGAGGATGAGATCGAAGAGCCCGCCTCCATCCCTCTTAAACAGACCCAATCATGGTGTTGTCCATGTTTCGCCAGCGGTCACGAGAGAGAAGAAAATTGAGCGAGAGAGAGAGAGGGAGGGAGAAAGACAAGCGCCGCAAGATTTAGAACGATATCGAAATGGAGAGTACTAGGACAGGAGGGAGAAAGCAACGAGGACAAGTGAAATCGAACTCTACCATGAGCATGGCACAAATAGTGCAAACAATCATGTTGAAAAATATATATTAGCATGCAGAGGCGAAAATATATCTGTTGTTGGTATCCTGTTGCACTCAGTTCGGATGGGAAGAGAACAAAGGAAAGGAAGCGTGTTACCGATGGTGATGACCTCAAAAACACTCGGGCAGAGAAAAGAGTCAAGAACAGGAGGTATGCACCCCATTCCCCCGTACCGCGGCCCCTTCCAAGGTGGTTGAAGCAAGACACATCCCTCCCATCGTATGATGTAGCACCACACCACACATGGCATGACACGTCATGGGATCACCTCTTGAAGGAGAGGGGATAAAGATATTCGAACACAACATCACACCACATGACATGGTACATACGTCATTGCATCACCTCTTCAAGGAGAGGGGACAAAGAGCTCCAATCCCCGCTATAGTACTCTGCCAGCGGCCAGTGATGTGCCTCGACGTTGAGCCTGACGTTGGGGATGGTAACCTGTTCGATCACCTCGCGGTTGAAGTCCGAGAAGCACACGCGTACACCTGAATTTTCGGGATTTCGAGTGCTCGAGTTGAAATACAGTATCATGCGTTAACGGCGCGTGCCCAGGTGGTGGCTCACTTGCTTCTTGTCTCACATCCGACCAGCTCGTTCAAGTTCACCACACCTCCTCCCCTCTTCGAATGTAGATAACTACTGCAAAATGCGGGCGCTCTTCGAGCTATTGCGTTTGTCAAACTCGTGCAATGGAAAGAAATCAAGGACGGAGCGAACGGAACACAATGTTCGTTGGATTGCCCGATGCAATGATTACAGCTCCAGTGGTGAGCCTACACCATATCGAAAACACGACAATGACCGGCGTGGTGTGCCAGCACACATGCATTTTTAGCACACACCTTGTTGGAGAGCAACAATACCCGGGAACCCGTGCCCACAACCCAGCTGCAATGCCCCACATGTTTATAGCGACGTTAGCAGCAGCAGCGGCAGCAGCAGCGGCAGCGGCAGCGGCAGCAGCAGCGGCAGCAGTAGTAGCAGCGGAGCCGCAGCAGCCGCAGCAGCCCGGCCCCGCGATTGGCACGATTGCAGAGAAGCGGCGGTGGAGCGCGTGAAAAAAAAAAACGGAGGCTCGTCGTGTCTCAAAAGGGGTGTAGACCGGTACCTTTTATCCAACGCTGGTTTCGACAGCTTCGAATCCGAGAAGGGCCATCCTGCCAGGAACAGGATGCGGTTGCTTTGCAACTTTGATGTAAGGCATGACCGAAGTCGCTCCAACTCAAAAGCGGGAACAACACAACTGAATTCAGCAGTGAGGGCAATCGCCACAGGCACGGAATGAAGGAAGCCGAGAGATAAGCGCTCTGCTGGACTACTGCCATTCTGCCCGCCTGTGCCTCAAAGGTTCATCTCGCCATGTACAGTGCGCAAACCATATGGGGCCGGGGGGCACGCCACAACAACGCAAGAGAGCTACATGTATCCCTCACGTACTCCTCCTCACGCCCCTCAACAAACAACCGACCCTTATCGAAGGCGGATGCACTAGGAAGACGCAGCAGCCCTCTCCGTGCCAGGAAAAACCAGCCACAACAAGAGGGCTCTTTGGAGCTAAGGGGAAAGTCGCATCATATGCACACCTCGAGCACGCTCTTGGGTCTTCCCGTCCCGCTCCCAACGCTCGCGTCCCCGCCGCTGCCACCGTCGAGACCCACGGGACAAGAGGAGGAGTTTGACAAGAGGTGTTCCACGAGGTCGAGGCTGGCCTCCCATACCTTGAGACCCCCTTCATACAGTCCCGGCACGAGATCGCTCTCTTCAGGCACGCCTGGGCAGGCTGCACGTTTAGGCGTTCGTTGAATCAGCCGCGTTCGTGATTGGTCGGTTCCAAACACTTCACCACATATGTTGTCAGGGTAGCGACTGTCGTTGTTGATTGGTCTTGGTTTTCACGGATGAAATTAGTCCATGATTCAACCTTTCTTGGATCTTTGAGTCTAAGCAGTGACTCATGTATGTCTGTGTGTGTTCCGTGTATTATTAGTCTACTTTTATTCGATGCTGCAGACGATCTTCTGTTCCTGCCCTGCCGAAACGATAGAAATATACTCCCCCTTACAAGGGCGGCCGCTGAAAGAAGCTAATATCAATACACGCGCCTGGTGTGTCTCGGGTGCGTGTGCCCTATCGTAGCTGTGACCAACCCTTAGACCGCAAAATGGTACGCGTGTGCTGGTGTACATACGGCGCACTCGCCTTTTGCTGAAGGGACGACGCGCAAGAGAGTGAGGTCCTCAGACTTCCACGCCACAGCTTGTGCCGGCTGGGAAGTTGCTGTTGTGCCTGCTTCTCCGTCAGCCCTTGTTGTAGCTCCTGGCGAAGGCGCGATGGATTGATTGGGCACGAAGGATGCCACGGTACCGAAGTATCAGCAGGGGCTCTCTTCATGGCCATCTAACTACGGCGTGTGCCATCTGTGTAGCTTGGTACTTGGGCGCTAGCCTACACTGCTGTACTATGTACTGTTGGTGACACAGCTTTACAAAATGATTCCGTGTCGAAGCTCTTCTGATTGTCGTGTATGCACATGTTCCTTCAATTACTGCACCTTTGCCCACACGGACCACACCGACCTGCTGACCAACGAGACTCTGGCCCTATTGTATCCTATTGTATTGTAGTGAAACAGCAGTCCCAGAAGGCACTGGAAGAAGCCTACGTGTCCGATGTTCAGCAGGAACACAGCAGGTTGGAGTAACAATCTCGGTGATACGCGCGAACTGCTGGTGTGGGTATAGTGTTCCACGCAGCAGATCAACTATGCTGAAGCAGCACATGTGCGTGAGTGATTTCTGAATGAAAGAGCCCGGACTTGCGACCTTCCCTCACTCGCAGGTCACGGGACGTCTGCTGCAGCCGTCTACAGCAGTATTTGTAGTGCTGTTGCAATTCGCGGCATCAAAAATACGCGTCCTTTCAGAATATGGACAGCACCTTTTTGTTCTCTCTCTCTCTCTCTCTCTCTCTCTCTCTCTCTCTCTCTCTCTCTCTCTCTCTGTGTCACTCCTCATCCCATAAACACTGCAAAAGGACGAACACCGTTATGTATCATGTATCATGTACTCGAGATCGCTCTTACCACCATCTCCTACGTGCCTAATCCGCCGCGCGGCATACTGATCAGGATCGGTCACAGCAGTGTCCTCGTTCGCAACAGCAGACAGCTGTTCTTGTTGCTGCTCCTCGTTTGATGAGGGGGGATAGAAGCCAAACTTGAACATGATGACGCGCTGCACGCGGGAGCTGCCTGGTGAGAGAAAGGCACAGCAGCAAGAGAGAGAGCGCTGTGAAGAGAGGAGAGCAGGAGATGCACCGTGCTGCACGTAAGCGGCGTGAATGTGATTGGCTGAAGCTGACAGGGTTAGAGGAGTTCCACTATTCCCGCTTCTCTTCCTTGAAAGTTCGTTACTCTTGAATCGCATGAAATTTCGTCGGAAACACGTTGCGAGTTCACAACTCTGCCTCTGCCTCTTACCACGAGAAGCAGCAGCAGGCTCCTCGTGTGCACACGAGGCGACAGTGATGGGAAGCCTAGCGAGCGAAGGAACGGTGGAGGGTAGACAGGGAGGCAACATGAGAGGTCACTACGAGCGCATTCCCAGAGGACACTGTCACCCGCCAATCCCGCCAGCGCCTGATCCTCGACGGGGAGAAGCCATGAGGCACAAGAAGGATGCCGAGGCGCAAAGCAATCATACATACCGGCGTCCTTCGCAAATTGTGGTGATGTCCAAGGGTGCTGGAGCTGCTCCACGCAAGCCGATGCCGGAATGGAAAAGAGGATATGTTGGGTTCAAGCGAAAGGTGATGTGGGCAAAAGGTTTGGTATTCGCCAATCCAAATCCAAAGTGCGGCGCACCTACTGTTGTAGACTTGTACTACTTCGTATATAGTCTACTAGAGTTGACTCTTATACGATTACACACGATAAAGCACCGCAGTGTCTTTGGGGGCTGTTGGCTTGTGACCACGGACGGCGTCCGCGTCAGTTGGACCAGTACGGACATTAGAAGGTACTGAGCGGAGACCGGAACGGTGTTTTTTGTGAAGACAACAACAACAACCAACAACAGCAACAGCAACAGCAACAACAACAAACCAGTGAGCACATTGTGGCTGTGATTACATCAAGTGTGCTGGAACGCTCATACTCTCCCGAAGCATTACAGAAGGGTAGTGATTCGTCGGCATCGAGCCGTCGCCGGAGCCAAGACAGAGTGTAGCCATCGCCATGACTTCCTCCACCTTTCTTCTACAGTCGTGGGCCCGGTTTAGCGGTTCATAGTGTCACGAAATTTTATAACCGCTATTCAGGGCATCGCCGCTAAACCACTTTAGCGGTCATTATCCGCTAAACCAGGAGGCTTAATAACGGTCATTAACCGCTAAACCGGGAAAAAGCCCATTTTTGCCCTACAGTAACAGGGTGGAGAGCTGATATTGATAGGGCCATGCGTATCAATGCAGCAGTCATACGAAGGTGCAGATGAAGAAGTAACGAGCCAATAAAGGACAACGCCGCAAGCACATTCATTAATGATGCGTTTTAATTCGCCAAAGCACGAAGATTACTCTCCCTTCTGGACTGTATGCCCCTCATCAAGACTGCAAAATCGTTCGCGTCTCTAACGAAGTGAAGTAGGTGATGAGACAAACTTGTGACAACGCAATGGCAATCAACCACGTGCTTGAGCATCTCATTTCTGCCATGTGTCGCGTATCGATCATTCTTCACCCAAAGCAATCTCTCTGGTATCTGCCTTCCGTGCTGGAGGAGCGGCGTGCGCTGCGATGAACGCCATTTTTGCCTCGCGAAATAGTGTGCTGCTTCGCTTACGCCACACGACTCCGCGCTCGCCACGCTGGCCAAAATCCGATGATAACCTCCAAGTGTGGTGGCGGCGACATCACCCCCCTGCCCTTCGCTCCGTCAAATTGTGCGGTGGTATCTAGCCCTAGCTCTAGGTCGTCGTGTCGTCGTCGGAGGGGTTAGGCCCCCCTCCATGTACATACCGGACAACTTTCAACAGCCTCGTCATTCGCGCCCTTTTACGCAAAGCTTCGGCGATCTCTTCCTGTGCGCACTATTTCTGCGTGCGCTACCTTCTGGTCAAGAAGCTTCAAAACCTCGAGATTCTAGCCAAAGTAGAGCCGCGTGTGGGGCTGTTGTCGTGTAGCTGCAGCACGAGTTGTTTCTTTCCGCGCGCCTGGTGCTAGAAAGCCACCTTACACCTCTTGGCGCTTGGGCGGATTTGAGACGTGAGGGGAACTCTGCGCCTTCTTGGTTGTAGGCCGGTTGCATCTCGTTCTCATCCGAAACCTCCACCTCCCCACACACATCCCGTGTATGCGGTCACCACAGCAACCTTCACAATAATGCGCGCCGCTTGGGCTCGTGCCGCATCTAGAAGCTTGCACAGGTCTCCATCCACGCGCCGCATGGTGTGTGTCTTTATTATTAGCATCGACCGCGCTAACCGGCTGACCAATGAAAAGACGTCGTCGTCAGTCTCAGCGCGGTTGAAAACACAAAAGACTTGTATATGTCATTAACTGGGACCTCGTGAGGGGGCGGCATGGGGCAGGAAAAAGCTATTCCCCGGAGTAAGGACAGACACGGTAGGTAGCAACAGAGGAAAACTGCCACCTTGCACTCGAGTTCGTTTTGGAGTGTTTTCACCATCATCCTCCTTGCTTTCACCACCATCACTCTCATCGTCGTTTCTTCAGCTATTTTTCGGCGATTCTTCTCTGGCCCTGCGTCGTTTGGTGTATGCGTGTGTGTCTCGCTGTGTCCTTTTTATTATGAGCATCGACCAGCTAACAGGCTGACCAAGTCGCTGTGCTGTGAGTATGTGCAAACGAAGCGCGCACTACAGGCAGGTCCCCGCAAAATTTGAACCGATAACCGCTATTGGTGGCTGCAAACATGTCCAATAACCGCTATTGAGGGCACGACCGGTTTAGCGGCTGTATAACCGCTAAACCGGGGTGCAGCCGTGTCACGAGATTTTATAGTCGCTATTCAGGGCATCCCGCTAAACAGGGAACCGTTAAACCGGGCCCACGACTGTATTGTTCATTCCATCAACTATACATGTACACCGCCGTGGCTAAAACTGTCGTCAACATCGCCACTGGCCGTTCCTTTGCGGGTACACCCCCTGCTGATTGGCGTCCGCAAAGGTCAAGTCCAGCGCTTTCATACCACTTCTGGTGCTGGTGGCCGTGTGCGGAGCTGGAGTTCATGTGGTCGGTCTTATGGGAGTGTCCTTCGGCTTCTTCACGTGGACTGTTGGGTGCGAAGGGGTGGTGACCGTGACAGGCGATAACGAGAGGTAACTTACACACGAAGGTTATTATTTGTTTTTGCCTTGAAGAGTGTACAAGAAGTGGTCAGGGGCAACCTAGGCTCTCGGCCAACGCATCGGGAACTGACCCGGCGGAAGGACTTGGGGTTGGTTCTGTTCTGGAGCAAGGGCAATGACGTATGGGTACAGAAGGGAAAATAAACCACGTCTGTACATGCGTTGTTGTCTCGTAGAACAGACAAAATCCAGATATCGAATGCTGATTTCTCGGCCAGAATTTCACATCACATGCATACCGAGCGTGATCATCCCCCCCCCCGCGCGCTGTTTGTCTCCCTTGTTCGTTCAATGGGAAACCCGACGAATGCGGCCACACCAATACAAATACAAACCCTGGCTCAAAGGGCCAACGGGATGCAAACCTACAGCCTGGGTTGGATGCGATACGCTGGCAGGGGTCCAGGAACGGCCTCCGACTCCCCCACTGTTCCCGTGAATATCACCAGCATCAATAGTACCGCCCGCTCCGACCTCGGAAAGGGAGGAGTGGCGGGCTCGAGCATACCGGAGAACGGGTGGCTTGCCGGTGTTGACGTCGTCACCGCAGTTTTCGGTGTTCTCACCGCAGCGGGCCACCTGGCAGGCTTCGCCTTCTACATGGGCACGCTGTTCATGGTGCAGTTACTGTTTCGATCCCAGTTCCGGAGCGACCGCTGCGTCTTCCGCGCAGCGGCGAAGGGGTCAGTGTCCCTGCTGGTCTGGGTGGTCGGAGTCGGTGTGGTTGGGTTTTACTTGTCAGCTCGGGAGGGTTTTACCGAGTTCGTGCTCGAGACTCTCCACAACGAAGACTTTCTCTGCCAGGTGATGCTAGGACAGGGCACAGCGCCTACGTTTCATGTGTGTAGGTGTTGGTACGAATCGTTTTCGTACAAATGTATACGCGGTGCTCTTGGCCGAACGCGTTTGGTATGAGCAAGTATCTCGTTCGTGCTTACTTGGCATGCACCCATGTTAGGGTGATAAAATTCGAGGCTCAAGTAACTCAACCAAGACTGTTACAACGATTCCAGCAAGCTGTTGCGCTTCTCTTTTCCTCCTTGCCCCCATTTTTGTCCCATGAGCTTGTCCACGAGCCAAGTATGGCGTATGAACGTGTTTCACTTTGGGCCCCACCCTCCTGTCACCATTGATCTCCGGACAGTCAGTCACCGCTTCAATCGTTCCTATTCTCGATGTTCCTTACTGTCACCTTTATTTATCTTTGATGCTTCCTCAATACTACGAGGGAGAAGATACAGGGCGGGTTACAGGAACCCCTCCGTTTACCCTTTTTGGTCCCGTTAGTTTTCGTTGGGGATAGACCCCCCCCCCCCCCCGACCCGATGACGACCCCAACACAATCCGTTTCCCAAATGAAACCTAGGACAACCGCGATGTTGGGGGAGAGTTTTCCTTCATCGCTACCGGCTTCGGGTGCGTTGCGGGTGCCCTCATGTGCCTGCTCGCTTGGTGGTTCGGCAACGCGGCGGACCTTGCTCTGGCGGATGGTTTCAATGGGCGAAGAGCATCGCTTCCGGCGGTCAGCCCTTGACGATAACTTGCACACATCAAACGATGAGCTTCGGTACTACAGTAGGTAGTGGTATGGATCCTGCTTCAGCTAGGTTAGGAAGCATCGGCTGAGGTGCAACTGGTGTGGTTAGTTATCATGCTAATGAGGAGAAGGTAGACTGCGGAAGGACGCATGAACAAGTGGAGTTTACCTAAGGTACTGTAACATGAAGATGGCTTGTTTCCAGTCAAGCATGTAAGGTTTAGTGGCGTCCTATTGACGCTAGCTAATCCGAACAGCCAGCGACGAAAACGTTACGAGCAGCGAGACGTGCTTGGCACGGCATGCACTTCGCACCACACAAAATGTGTGACTGCTCTGAGTGGGCCAGACGTTTGTGTGTCGTACGCGCCACTCGCGTCTCAACAAGGAGGATCGTGAACTGTGATATGAACATGTAAGATTATAGTTTGAAATATGTCGGATTAAACCCTAAAAGCTATGCTCCGGCAGCGTGCTTTCTATTAGAATTCTTCCTTTTTGTCACTTACATTGTCGTTGTTCGCGGTGGTGTGGAGATACGACTGTACTCCTGTATGACGTACATAGTTTATGTTAAGCTGATGACTTCTGTCCGATGTATATAGGGAATGTTTTGCATGATGTCACACGGGGAACAGATGCTCCGCGTACAAGCGACCACAAAACTTGTATCGCAACCCCGAAGCTGAACAAGAAGTATGAAGGACCTGAAACGAAGAGAAATACACAGTACATTGATTGATTGCTGAACGGAGGCCTTAGGAGAAAAACGTTTGTTTCGTGGTCTCAAGATTCCTTGTGGCATGGGCCGGACCGATCAACAGACCGGCGAGGCACTTTTGTGGTGTGGTCCGAGCACTCTTTCTATCCGTGTCCAGATGGTACCCTAAAAGGCGCAGAGACGGCATCTGTCACGGAGATGGCACCGGTCGGGGGGGTGGCACCGGGTGCGATCTCACCGACCCCGTGATCCAAGATTGACCTCCTTGTGAGCTGCCCGGGGTAACACTGTGTGTGTGTACCTTTGCATATACATATGTGGGGACTGTGTTAGCGGAGAGCCACCGGTTTCGTGTGCGAATGTACGGTGATGATGGCGTTTTACGCCCGATGCCAGATGGTTTCATTCGAGAACGGGCACAGTGGTGGCTACGGTTTAAGAGTAAGAGAGGGTCGGGACTAGCCAGTATTTCTCTCTTGAATCCGTTTTTCTCTGATACCCGTTTTATTCCTCTCAAACAATAGCCAGTGAAGTTACGGTCGTTTTAGAGCGGATGCCTTGCCTACACTGCTCTATAAAGGTGCTCCTGAGGAGGACATGCAATAAATCGTGTTCACCACTGGGTCAGGGTCTTGTTGCGCCTGGTTGGCACAACCCACATACCAATGAATGAAACTAACCCAAGAAAAAGATGTGGAAGGCACCTAATGTGGAGGATATATCATGGGTCTCTCTACTGTACTCTCAGATGCAAGAGGACGAGTTCGACCAGTCTGAACAAGGAGAAATGGGCGAATCCTCCGGGGTAGCCGTAGGGCGTCCTCCATTGTAATCGGGGGTATGCATCGCACAACACTTAAAGAGTTGTTAACTCGAGGATATCGCCGAGCAAGAAGTGCGGCATGCCCAACGCCGTTCTTGTCAGGCTAAGGCATAGCATGGATGAGCGAATACTGGTCGAGGACACAAAGTAGACGTGCACGAGAGAGACTTCATGTAACGTGGCACAACGGTAGGAGCTTCTAAGGCCGGGCCGGGGGCGCACAGCAGATGGCTACATGTAGCTGGGTAGCAGACATGGTACATCTCGTCGTTGTCGCCATGCGGGTCGACCATACCACCAAACCCGTGGAATTAGCCCCCACAGACTCTGTAATGATGCATAGTGAAGTCTGACGGATTCGGCGTGTGATCGGAGTCACTCTAGCAGCGGCTGCCCGCTGCCCAGGGCATGGTGTATCTATCTACGGTTTTGGGTATGTATTGTGTAGTTGCGGCTTTTCCTCCGTGATTCGTTGTATGTAGGAGAATAGGACTGGATGAAAGCAGATTCTCTCTTTTGTCGGCCAGAGGCATGAAAAGCCAATTTTATCCTCTTGAACCCGTACGTTTCTCTCTTACACCTTAGCCACTACTGTATGGAAGTTGTCAACAACAGCAGTGCACTCAACCAAACACACAACATACGAGCCACCGCCTACCCCACCATACACAAACGAAATCTACATGTATGTACATTGCAGTCGTGGAGGGAGACTGAAACGAAAGCGAGAGAGACAGCCTCAGAACCGTACTGTACGTACCGAACCGCCACCTAGAAACCACACCACCACCATCATCATCGTTTATTCGTGGTCCTTGTCACGCCAGAGCCAAACTCTTGCATTAAATCCCATGACTACTCGCTGCATGGACATCGCCTGCTTGTGGTACACCGGTGCCAATCAAAGAGGCGGGGATATGGCACCGGACGGGGAGATGGCACCAGGCGGATGCGTGCATACAACACCGCCGAACATAAATGAGCTCTCTGCCTGTATGTGTTTTCGCTGAGCATCGCACCCGTCGGAGAGATCGCACCGGATTGCCTTGAAAAAGCTAGACGAAATTATTTCATTGTATTTCTGCACCGGGGTCGGAGAGATGGAACCGGTTGAAAAGATCGAACCTTAGGCGAAATAAAAATTAGGGAAAATAACATTTTTACTGATTCGTCGAAGTAAAATAAGAGGTCCGGTACCATCTCTCCGATGCTTTTTACGGTGGTGGTGGTAAGAATCAGAGTAATGTAGAGAGAGAGGCCTTGCCTTACTTCGGACCTGTATGTCGCATCCGGTGCTGCTCTCCAATACGGTGTAGTCCAGTGTAAGGTGTTGCAGTCGTGCTGTTGCCGGGCCGTTGGTTGCTTCTGTACCACAACCGCACGTGTATCTGTGTGCCGAGGTCAGCAAATAATATAATTCGAATAAAATTCTTGCGACGCACCGTAGGAGGTGTGTGCCACCAACTCACGGCAAAACGGCACGCGTCGTACTCAAATACGTACGTACGGTTTGGAGAAATGTTGGTTGCAGCTTTTCCCTGCTGCGCTGTGTAGTTTCAAAGCAGTAGCGGTCCGTTGCATATGCGTCCCTACCTGCCTCTGCTCTCACGCGACTACATATACTATATACTTAAAATATTTGTATGAGCACTTGGTTGTGTTTGAAACGTGCACCGGACAGAGGCACTCAGCAGTAGCGTTCCACATCACACACGGGCACAGGCGGGCGCTGGAAGGTAAGGGAATAATGAAAGTCAACCCTCCTCACTGCTAACGACTTCACATTGTTCAAAGGTCCCCAACACTCACACACCCTTGCATGGTTTGTCAGCCAGCACCGCAGCACGGCTCACAAGTGCGTGCGGCTCAGGGAGCGGGGCTCTGAAATTAGCTGGAGGGGTATGTGTTGAATTGTCACACTGCTGTACGCCGACCCCCCCGGGCTAAAAAACGGTGCGTATGTATGCGTGCGTACACCCAACTTTCCGTCCCTAGCTTGTAGCCATAGCCATCATGAAGACCTCTGGATTGGTAGCGGTGCTGGCGGGTGCATCGGTTGTGGAGGGATTCTTGCCTGCCACCAGCAACTCCCTGGCGCTGCGCCAATCACAACCATCATGTGTGTCCGGGAAGTCAAAGGCTGCCGTAGGACGTCAGTCGAGGGCCCAGCAGCAGCGGCAGTACATGGTTGCCGCCCCTGCTAAGGAGGACACCGTGGCAGCGGTGCCCCACGGAGGCACGCTTGTTGACCTCAACCTCAAAACCGACGAAGAGAAGAAGGTGCGGCAGGCGGTGTGGGTGTTTGGCGATTTTTTGCGCATGATGATATATGAAGAAAGAACGACCACGTACTGCAGATCCGTGTGATCCGCCCACACGCCCCAAGCAGCGGCAGCAGCAGCAGCAGCAGCAGCAGCAGCCAGTCAGCGGGCTTGGGTGGTACGGCGAGATAACATCCAAGAGCATCCAGGGTAGAGTATCCATTGCTGCTGCTATGCGTGTGAAACCTGGGCTTCGTAGTCGGACGCAGCTGCCCATATGTATCCCCCGACAACTTTGGTCGCCGGTGCTATGTAGCAGTATTAACGATAGCACACATTCGATTGAAGTCTGGACTATTGTTGGTAGCGCGTGCTGTCCTAAATGTACTCTATGCCTTCAACCCTGCTGGATCCTGTCACCTCCTGTCCACACCGCTCCACATGCATGGAGGGAGGGAGATAGGGAGAACTGTAATGAGATAACTCGTTCTGTCGTTGTTGGTGCCCTTCACGCTTGACAACAAACTTTCGTAAAACGCTTCTGTGACGGAAGTGCGATGTGTCTTTCGTGTCTCACCTGCTTTCATCCGACGCATCACACATTCGTGTTGGCGACTGGCGACAACACCAAACACTCCGTGATCACAAGAATATGGACCAACCTCATTACCTCCGTCACGAGGCAACGTTGCATACATTCGGTGGAAAACGCCGACGAAATACCCTAGTCTACTTCTGTAACACCAGCGTTTACCTCGAAGATGCTGCGTTGAGGCAGCAGGAGCCACACTTTTTCCACGATAAAACGTGCCTGTGCTTGGGAGTGTGTGTATTGTGTATCGTCCCGAACGCTAGAACGAGACCTTTTATGCATAGGTTACAACACACCTTTTCGGAATATTTATATCGTATTTGGTGGGTGGACGCATCAACCGGGGGGGGCCACACAGGACAAACGGCGAAAAATTTACACAGCACGAACTCTTCTACTGTCCTCTAGCCTCTTCTTGCGCTGCTTGCCTATATACATGAAGCCTTGTCGCGTTAAGGGTTCAGCAGTGTGGTTCCCTCGTCGATCGTCGAGTCGTTTTTTTTTTTTTTGTCCCATCAGTTCTCGGTGCCAGTCTGCACTAAATAGACGGGTTCACAAAGGAAGCATTGCCCACTCTTTGTCCTGCAGTGCTTGCCTTCAAGTTCTGACGCGAGAAGGGTAGAGCAACCCCCTTCTACAGTACTGCTGTTGCCGTCGGTATTCACGACTACGCGCTTCCTATCCACGTCTGCGGCTGTAACTTGCGAGTTTGCCAATGCGGCGAGATTCGACACCCGTAACCTAGAGCCAGAAGATGCCAGGAGGTTGCAGGTTACCTACCAACGGAATCACTCAAGGCACCATAACCAAGCGCTCTTGCGTCCACACGAAACTCACCCGAAACGTTACCGTTCGTGTTCCTAGTTGCGCAAAGGCATGTCATGCGCGTATGCATACATAGGCACAGTCTATGCATATGCAAGCTGATATGTTGCGTTTGAGTGAGCGGAGGTCCGAACCCGTGTCAACATGTGGTGTTACATGTAGGTGCCGGCAACATGTTACTAGCTGTCCACGGGAATGAGGTTTTGTGCACAGCCAGCATCAGGATTGCGGGTGTGTTTCCTAAACAGGACTGTCTCTCGCCCGCGTAAATTTTGTTTCTCTCGCAACTCCAGGCAGCCATTGCGGCCTGCGACATCGAGATATACCTCAACCCTCGCCAGCTGTGCGACGCTGAGCTCATCTGCAATGGAGGCTTCAGCCCCCTGACGGGCTTCATGACGGAGGAGGAGTACACGAGCGTGGTGGAGAACAACCGCCTGCCTAACGGATTGCTCTTTGGCCTCCCGGTCGTGTACGACACGGACCGCGAAGACTTGAAGCCTGGTCAGTCAGTTGGTTGCTGCTTGTTGTTGGTGGCGTGTTCGCCATTACTGCTGTTGCTGTGTTGACCTCTCAAGGAGCCTTTTTTCCCTCTTTCTTCCCTGCATCCCTGCGTTGTGTTGTTTTTGTTGTTATTTTTGTTGTTGTGGCACAGCGACTGTACTAGCCTAGCCTCTTGCGTTGATTATCAAGGTTTTTATCTCCAGGTATTTGGCTTGACACGTTGTGCCCAGCGCGGAGATTGTTATGCACAAAGGCGGGCTGTATTCGTAGTCTCCAATGGGAGGGAGGAACCCACTAGAACGAACACCGAAGATGCCGATACATGTGGGTGTAAGGTACTGAGCAGAGACCGGAACATTTTTCAATGTAGTCAAGACAACAACAACAACACACACGCCGCACGTGTGACCTTTTTTTCCGCCGGACCCCCCCTCCCTCCCCGCACTTTTTTTTGTACACGCTCACGTTGAACCGTTTGCATGTTTTGAAATCAATCCGACAGGGATGAAGATTTTGCTCAAGCAGGAAGGCAACGACCTGCCCATCGCAACCATGGAAGTCGGCGAGGTTTTCACGCCCAACAAGCCGCTCGAGACGCTCAAGTGCTACGGCACCTCCCAGCTCGAGCACCCCGGTGAGTCGGTGGCGAACAAGTACGGAGAAGAAAGGGGGCACGTGTGTTGTGCAGCTTTGCTCTACCGTCAATGGCTCGAGTGTTTTTATCTGCTGCGTCTCTCTTTGCACTCCGGATACCCCCCCCCCCCCCTTCTGGCTCTTCTCTCGTTTGATTTTGTTCTCCACCACGAGTGCTGTTGACCGCTATCATCGAATCTCTTGAGTCTTTTCTCTAACCGCTCCACCTCCAACTGTCCGTGGACCGCAGGCGTGCAGATGGTGGCCATGGAGAAGGGCAAGTTCTACGTGTCCGGCAAGCTGACCGGGCTCAACCGGCCGGTGAGGGACTTCTTCTGCAAGACGCCGGCCGAGACCCGCGAGGACCTCCCCAAGGGCGTGGACGTGGTGGCTTTCCAGTGCCGCAACCCCATCCACCGCGCACACTATGAGGTGAGCTGAGCGAGAGAGAGGCAAGGGGGCAACCCTGAGAACAGCAGTTGTCGTGTGTTGGGCTGCGTTTCCCTGGCTTGCACCTATGGGAGAGTTGGGAGAGCGGGGGTCAGGGTGTCTGCTGTGTGCTTGTATGATCCCCAGCTGTCATTTGAAAAGAAGCAATGGATTGAGTCATCGACAGTAACAGTAGTGGCGCTGACGTTCTGGTCGTTTCCTCGTGGATCTCGTGACTTGCCGCCATAGCCAATAATTTCTCACCTCTCACCTCGTACCATTGGCCATTCGGGGAACCGATTGAATCCTGAAACTGTTGTGCCGCTGCTGTATGAATGCCGTGTGCTGTTGCAGCTGTTTACCCGTGCGCTTGACGCGGAGAACGTGGGCGGCGACGGCGTTGTGATGGTGCACCCCACCTGCGGTCCCACCCAGGCGGATGACATCCCGGGAGACGTGCGGTGAGTGACACAGTGACACGGAGAGACAGACGGGCGACCTTGATGTTGTTGCTGCTGCTGTTGGCTGCTGCTGCCGTCGTTGATGGGGTTGGTGCTGTTGGGGCGATGGCCATGGCGATGGTTCATGCCTCTTGTTTCGTTTGGGCGATTGAGGAGGCAGAGACAGACTCTTTGTTTTTTTAGGAGCGCTTGTGGCGGACATCGATGGTCATGGTCTGGTTTCGGAAGACGACGGAGACTTGGTATGGTATGGTATGGTATGGTCAAGGATGGGTGCAACGCCTTTGTCGAAATATGCCAAGTATGTATGCGCAATACCTGCACTATGTAGTGTACACTTCCACTCCACTCTACCCGTAATAGTCGTCATGTTGGCCTCACACATGCAGCACCAACGTCAACACAATGCCGCAGAAAAGCAAACCCGCGAACATGTACGGAGAAGAGAATCTGAATATTCCAACACTTCTGCTGCGGCTTGGGTATGCTCGAACGGGCCCTCAGTGATGGCTGTGATATGCCACTAGTACCTGCTGTTGCTGTCCGTTGTTTTTTTTTGCCGCCCCGTCGCGCCGCGCCCCAGGTGCACATGACAGGTTAAGCTGTTTATTCCACGTTGCACCCCCCCCCCTGTGCGCCCCGTTGTGCTGTGCCCCCAGGTACCGCACGTACGAGGTTCTTAAGGAGGAGACGGCGAACCCCCGCGTGAGGTGGGCGTACCTGCCGTACTCGATGCACATGGCCGGTCCTCGCGAAGTGAGTCAGTCGGTCCACTCCGTACGTTATCAATGCTAGAAACCACAACAGCGTTAGTTCTTGGAATTGAGTTGACGAAAATTGCAATCGTGTCTGTAGTTGATTTGCCTTGGTCAAGTCGGCACGATCGTGGCCGCTACAATAGCATTCCATTGGACTATTGGAGCTGGACTAAAGGCGTCGTGACGTTGCTACAATATCATGGACTACTGCTTCTTGTTTTGGTGGAGTCGAGTCCGCCTCACCTCATGTGTCAAATGCCTTTGCTGCTGGGATTAGGGACGCTTGCCCTGATGCCATCCCGACCTTGCCAACGTTTTCGCTGGGTTGGTCGGTCTTGACGTGTTGTCTGTGCAGTTGCTTAGTCGTTTAGTCAGACGTTTTTTCCTGCCTTCTGCCTCGGGGCAACGTATGAAGGCAGTAGAACTTGCAGCTGTTTCGCCGACAGCACCCACCAGTACTGCGATGGTACAGCAGGACGTGCGGTAGATTCTCCGCTGTTGCAATATGTGACAAGAGGGTTGTTTCTGTTTGGAGGCGGTGCAAGTGCTGCTGGTTCGGGACAACTGCACGTGCACATGCGCACCACGGACTGCGGCCATGGCATGCCTGTCCTTCGACCCTCTTCGCCAACTGCTGTCTCTAGTCTTCGACGCTGTTTTCTTTGCCTCGGTAGAACGGTTAAGCCCGTTCCCATCTCTTGATTACCGTTTTGTCACCGCCCTACACCGTCCAACCACAGGCCATGCAGCACATGATGATCCGCAAGAACTTCGGGTGCACCCACTTCATCATCGGGCGGGACATGGCCGGCTCCAAGAGCAGCGTCACGGGGGATGACTTCTACGGGGCGTACGAGGCACAAGAGGTACGCACAGTGCGCTGCAGTACCTACTAAACTGCGCCGCGCGTAGCCTTTAGTATAGTAGCGCGCCATGCATACAGCAATACATACAAGTGCCTACCCTCCAGCATCCCTGCACAAGCCTCAATGTAGCCTTTCGGGGCCCAGGTGACGGTTGTGTGTGTAAGGTGGAGTTTTTGGCCCGCTTGGAGCACAACAGCCAACCCTTCAAGTGTTGTCGTTGTTGTTGTTGTTGGATTTGATAAGCCAGCTCCAGGAGATGTGTGCTTGTACGAGAGAGATTGAAGACAAAAAACATCAGCACAATGAATGCTCTTCGATGTGCAGCCGCCAAAATGGAAACAAGACGTTATATGCACCACCACGGTAGGGAAAATGACCAAATCATCTACTTGGAAGTATGTCCCTTGTCGCATCACCGATTTCTGCTATTCCGAGGCGTCTCTCGTTTTCATGGCAACTGAAATTGATGTAGTCACAAACGTTCTAGTTAATTGTTTAAGTGTGTCATTACACCTGAAATGTTCGCATTCGCTGAGCCCCCCCCCCCCCCTCCCCCACCTTCTCCTTTTGCCCCCTTCTTGCCTTGAACAACAATGACCATTCTCTGTCCATGTGTCGGTCGGTGTGCAGTTTGCGGCGGCTAACTCGGAGGAGCTGGGCGTGAAGTGCGTGCCGTCTTTGAACCTGGTGTACACGGAGGAGGAGGGATACGTCACCGCCGACGTCGCTGAGGAAAAGTCTTTGGTGAGACAAGCTACCTGGTACTATTTACCACTTCCTGCTGTACACTACTGGTATTTATTTTCAAAATGATTTGGCCGAAAAGAACAAGATGCCGTTGTGGCTTGGTTTTTTGGTATCGCGATTGTTGTCCTCGTCCTCCTTGGTCTTGATGGTTTTGGAGCTTTTTGTTCCGTCAGGCCACCTGGTTGAGCCAGCCCTCTTTCCACCCACCAGACATGGTCATTTTCATACTCGGTAGCATACTGTATAGTATGCATATTGTTTCATTGGTTCATCGTTTCTTGAATCGTCCGCTTGCTGAACCTTGAATGTTGTGCTAGTAGCTGCCGATGTAGATGTTGGATTTTCTACTGACTGATTGGCTAGTATACCCATGGCGGTGACAGCGATGGCTTATGCTGCTGCTGCTGCAAAACATCGTCCAATGCTATGCATATACCCAGGATTTCCTTTTTCGGAGCACAAAAGAGTAAACGCCGTTGCTGGATAAGCATGAAACTCTCACTCACACGAACTTGACACTACGCTCCTTACCTCCCCAACTCGCGTGCGACCGCTGATGAATGAATGCAGACCAAGAAGTCTCTGTCGGGCACCAAGTTCCGCCAGATGCTTCGCGGCGGGGAGGACATCCCAGAATGGTTTGCGTTCAAGTCGGTGGTCGACGTCCTCCGCTCGGCCAACTAAATTGACCGATTGATAGATTTCTCGACTAGTTATTTGATTGGGTGCGTTCATTCAATTTGATGCCATGGTTGGAAAAGAAATGTCAAATAAAAGCTCCGCCGTATCTGGGTTGTCTGTGTTTAAGTTGTTGGTGATGGGCTGTCATTGTTGGTTGCCTGATTCGGCCGGTTGGTTCATCACATATAGTCTAGAGAGGAGGAGTGCGGGAGCGGGCATAGAGTGAAGAAGAAACACTATTATAGCTGTTCGGCGAGTAGATTCAAAAAATGGACGTGTGTAGATGCTGATGGGTCTGATCGCGGGTGTAAGCTGTTTTTTGAGGTCCTCACTTGCTGTTAGCTGCCCCCCCCCCGCGTCTCGCTGGTGGTTGTTGTTTGTCCTCGTGAAAGATTAAGATTTGCGGGAAGCCGCTATGATAGGACAACAGCCGCTAACCACGCCCGTCCAATTTTCCAAGTAGACTAGAACTTAAAGAAGGGGGCGCGTAGTGTTTTATGTTGTCGCTAGGTGGAGGTGGGGAGGCACGACCTGTCTCTTTCGTCTTGTGGTTATCGTTTACCCTAGGAAAATCACAAGTCTATCGCCATCAATAACCTCGTATCCTACGCATATGAGATGAACCGCATCCCAAGCCTCTGCGACAGCGGTGCCATTCTCGAACTCGTGTGAGGGACACCATGGACAACAGGGATCGAGTTGTAGCAGCGAGAGGGGGAAATCGTTGACCCCTCAACAAAGTCATGTCCTTGAGTTGGTTCGTGCTGGTCAGCTCTCGCGGGTCAAACGTCCTACTATATTTGTGGGCGAAATAAAAAATTATCTATCTGCTGTATCTCGCGAGGCGCACGAGACGAACAAGGACAAGATCACATGCAGCTCCTGCTGCTGCTGTCTTGAACAGTTCGTAGATATGCCCGCAACAACTACAACAACCCCCCGAAAGTTGCGGCAGATACCACACCCCCTACCGTATTATCCATGCGTAGTCCGATACACTCTGAAGTGCAACGAGTGACGGAGCAAACACCGGCTGCTGTGGAGCCGTGTCGTGGAGAGCTTTCCGTAAATGCGCGTATCGTTTGATTTTGGCGTCCTCTTAATTGTCGCGGAGTAATCGAGCTATATAGCTGTGAAAATCAAGGGTGTGGTATCTAACGCAATCGGCTGCACCCGACCGGGGTGTCGGTCTCGTGCTGCTGAATCCGCGGAGTCCCCTCGCGGAGATTTTGCACGTGCGCGTTGCAGTCGTGTCGCACAACAACACCAACACCAACTGCACAACAGGCAGGAAGCCATGTCGGTGACCCTTAGTCGCTACAGAGTACTTCTACCTCGCAATGGAAGGATTCTTCCCGGTAAGTCTTCACATGCAGCTGTGCCGTTGACCAAGCAAAGCTCAGGCCTTTGATCCACATGACATGACACACACACCTGTTACAAGCCGCCGACATGAAACCGAAACCATGGCAGCTTATGGCACGACGGCAGCTATGAAAAGTGACAGCTTTCATGTGATCTTGTGATGCATACGACAGCCTGTTGGTGTGGAATGTCCATTGTGTACTGCGTTCTGCCAGTGCTTTGGTAGGATTTTACACGACAGCAATGAGACAATACTTGCTGAAGCAGCAGCAGCAGTCGTTGCTACCGCAGGCCTCCCCTTTCGCACGGCATCCCCGATTAGACTACCAGGCTAACTCGAGGTACAAGCACAAGTACACCGTTACGCTCATACTGCTGCCTTTGTGTTCTTGCGAAAGCTCTATGAGCTATGCGGTCATTTTTTCAGTTCTGATCGGAGGTGAACAAGTCAGGTGGCGCAACTCTACACTAAATAGTGGTGACTGTTACGGCTGGATGATTGCAGAATCACAGTCACCCCACAACAGCATTATTGCACAACACCTCATAGTCAGTCCATCGTTGCCTTATGGCCAGCTTTTGGAAGAAGGTGTGTAGCGTTTTTGTCTGCTCGCAGTAAAGACTGACAGATTTCATTGTTCTGCCGGTCGATGCGCACACATTCCATCATACAAGAAGAATCTTGGCTCACCAAGCTGGACATGGAACATGCGAGATCACCTGCTGTCTGTTGTGGGTGTACACGACCCCCCCCCCCTCGAGTTCGACCCGGAAGACGACAGAAATAAACTTCCATTGAGGCATTGAGTCCACCCGCTTTGTTGGTGATTTTCCGAGGGCAGGCTGCCCTCTAAGGCCGAGCACGACCACTCGCATACATACGGCGTCATCCGTCCCCTCGTTGAGAGGCTCCCTGTTAGACTTTGGCCGTCGAAGAGGGGGTGCAAGCGTTAGAAGTCTCGCCACCGTATACCTCGGCCTCGGCAGCAACGTCGGCGACAGACACGCCAACCTGCTACGGGCCTTCAAGGGGCTCCGCGAGGTGCGAAGCGAAGCCAAGCGGGCGTGCTGCTCGGAGGCCGGCATTGTAGGTTGCCAATCGGCACACATAGCGCTATTTAGTCTACTGCTGTGATGCTGTAGATGCAGCGTCGTTAACACATGAGGCCTCACTGTGAAACTACTATCGTACGACACGTTTGAGCGGGGTCTCGGACGGCGGTACAGTCTACGCAACACCACCAATACCATCAATAACAGCAGGAGCATACCCGAGTGTATGTGTTGTGTGTTGGTGTAGAAGGAGATCAGTTGTACGCGAGACCCCCCCCCCCGCCGAACTACGCCGGTTCCACGTTGCCCCCCCCCCGACGCTCGTCACCTGTCATGTGCCCATGTTGCTTTCCTGCACTCCTCTTGCTGGTGATGCAGTTTGGGGAAGTAGACGCTACCTCGCTTCTGTACGAGACGCCTCCAATGTACGTGGAAGACCAGCCGTGGTTCCTCAACGCTGCGTGTCGCTTGAGCACCGACCTTGGCCCGGCCGTGTTGCTTGAGCGTCTCAAGGTTCTCGAGGCTGCTGTAGGACGGTGAGATTCAGCAGGAGGGAAAAAGGAGGGGGCACAGCGTTGTTCCTCGTCGGTCACAGTGTTGGATGGTGGATTTTATTCGACCTACAGCTGACTCCTTTGGATGTTCTCATCTTGTCTGGTTAAAGCGGGGTTGCAAGGTGCAGCTAGCCGGCGGTGTACCTACCGTACCTGCCGTACCTACAGTGTGTTTGCTCTCTTTCCTTTGGCGGGTCTTTCATGTGCAGTAGCGCCTACACTCACGGTGCCACTTTGCTCGGGTTAAGCATTTCAACAGTTTAACCGTGATCTTCCATGCTCGTGGCATTGTACTGGATGCTACAACAGGAAGGATACCGCGAGATGGGGGCCTCGAGCGGTGGACGTGGACATCCTCTTGTACGACGACCTTGTGTTGGACGGTGGCGATGGTGGTAATGGTGATGATGGTGGCGGTGAGATAGTCAAGGCGAGATGATCAAATTGCTTTGAGCATATCTTGGATTCCGCGTCAGTTTCAAGTTCTTGTTCATGGCAAGAATAGCCGTGAGACATGTCGACTGTTATGTGATGTACTCTTACCCGGAGCTGATGGTATATGCTTAAGAGGTACCACTTTTAGCGACGCGTCCACAAGGGACCAGGGCCTGCCTAGTTCGCGCGTCGGAGCTGAGTGGCGGCACAAAAGGTCGTACGCAAGGGTGCGTGCGGGAATTGGTGGTGTTGAACTTGACGAGATCAAGTACAGAAGAGGACACAGCGGCGTAGTGTCACGACTGTTTCCAGTAATGACAAATCATAGTGGTATTGTTGCAGCAAACGGGAGTTCACAGCTACGGCATTGGCCCCAAGCCATCACCGCAGTCATACCCTATGACACGATGTCGTCGCACATGTTGTCGGCCGTGCTATGCTGACCTCCCTCATGTTTGCATCTTCCACCCTTTGTCCAACAATCTTGTTTTTTCTGGCTTGCTCCCATCTATCTCTGTTATGGACCTTCGTGAAACGACGCGGCGAGTATAGACACCGGGCGGCCACAGCAGCACCAGGAGCGGCAGCAATCGAAGCGGTGGCTGCGAATTCCACATCCTCGGATGCACGAACGACCGTTCGTGCTGCTCCCTTTGGCAGACATCCAGCCAGATCTGGCACACCCAGTTCTGCGCTCGACTGTCAAGGAACTTCTCTCAGGCCTAGGTTTATCCGCAGGCGTAGGAAACAGAACCTTGTCGGCGGCAGCGGCGGGCGCAAAGGGGGTCGAGGGCCAAGCGGGGGAATCAGCAGGAGCCGGTGGGGCGGAGAGGGTGCTGCCGATGGGCGTTTGCAGCAACGGACACACGAGGTAAGCTCAGGAGTTTTTGAGTGCGCGAGTCATCTTGTTCACTGTGTCGCTTTGGAAGGGGAAGCGAGTGTGCCGCAGATGCTGCTAACGCTGTCGTTCTCTCTCCGAGTTGTATGCACGTGTGGTGTGGTTGTTGTTGTCGGAACACCGCGCCGACCGATTGGTGTTCGGGCTACAGCCCTCAGAAAGATTAAACAACTGGGTGATCGCTTTTTCGAGAAACACAGCTCGCACCCAGAGCACATCAACATCCCAGTCCAGTCCAGTCGTGTTCGGCGCCGTTTTTGTGTGCGGAGGGTTTTTTGGGCGGTGAAATTTTCGGACTGTTCGTGAAATTCGTCTGTATCCTCTTTAGTTCCTAGGCGACGTTTCGGTACCACTGCTCATGTAGTGACGTATGTTTTGTCTTGTGTTCGCATTTGGCATGTAACGCGTGCAGGGGAATGACTGATGTACGTGTAGTTTATCGAGACGTTCAGCCATCGACCTCACTCAATGCGATCTCTCCGAATTGTCCGGGTGCCTTTGCTGTCCTTGTTGTCCCCTGGATACTTTACTGGTTTGTTATAACCGTCTACCTAGTGGTGTGAATCTCTTTTTGTTGCCATGAAGCGCTGTGTTTACACCATCATCGCCATCTTCCCCTGGACGGATGTACTGCCGTTCTACTGCTGCTGAAAGCTCCGTTTGCTTGCTATTACAGCACTACGACTTACTTCGGTGGGTGTCAGTCTCTGCTACAGCACCACTTGCCTGGGTATAGGTATACACCACAATCCCAACAATACTGTACAGACTCTCCAAACCAACTCTACCCGGTAAATCGATAACTTGCCAACAAGAAAACGCACGGGCTATGCATATGATAGCAGGCTGTGGCCTATGGAAGGGAGGCGAAGTCGGACTTACGTCATGGGCATCCTTAACGCGACTCCGGACAGCTTCAGCGACGGCGGGCAGCACTACAGACGGGGGGGGGGCGTGGCCACAGCCGTGGAGCATGGTTTGAAGATGGCGCGAGACGGGGCTGACGTGCTTGACATCGGCGGGGAGTCCACAAGGCAAGCAAGGCGTCTGCTGTTGCGTTGTTGTGTGTCGGTAATATTTTGTTGTTCGATATGGTTATGATTACGACGCTGTAGTGTCGCAGTCTTGGAAGGTGATGGCGGCCGTCTTCATGGTGGTGTTGGAGGTGGTGGTAACCGTCTTGGGTGGGGTTGCCATCGTTGTCGTCTTGCTGCTCAAGTCTCAAGACCAAGTCTCAAGATCAAGTCTCAAGATCAAGTCTCGAGCGGTGGCGATTCCCCAACCACGACGGTAAGGGTTTCAGCCATCCCATCCGTGTGCCCCCCCCCCAATACTTCAATACATACTTGTTTTAACACGTACATCAATACCAATACATGTTGTTGCAGGCCGGGGGCAGCCGAGGTTTCCCCCGAGGAAGAGATTTCTCGAGTCGTGCCCGTCATTGAGGGCATACGAGACGCTGCAACCGCTGGCGGCGAGGCAGCAGCCGGGGAGGGTGACGATGCAGACACCATCGGGCCCGTCACGATCACCGTAGACACGCGTCGAGCTGCGGTGGCGGAAGCGGCGGTGGCGGCAGGGGCAGACGCTGTCAACGATGTGTCCGGGGGCACGTTCGACCCTCAGATGTTGGCGACGGTGGCTCGCACCGGAGTGCCTCTGATGATGATGCACATGCGGTAAGAAGAGATGGCTGATCGGGGCCAAGAAATCGATGACGATCACGAGGTGTTGGAAGATTATGTTGATAGGTGATAGGTTACGCCGTCTGCTGCGCTCGTGTGACGCAGGAGCTGTGCAGCCTTGCAGTATTGAGGGTGCGAAACACACCTTGTAGATGGCCTCGCCTCCGTCGGCACGGTGAAAATTTTCACTGGTGTACAAGTCGTGTGATTGTTCTTCGCCTTGTCTTACCGATCTGGCTCTCTGCTTACAGTGGCTGTTTGTCTTCGCCGCTGTCTATTTACTTACTTATCCATCTTTCTCGTTCTCCCTCCCTACAATAGGTGCTACACTATTCACTTGTGTTTTTCCTCTCTGTATCTCAATATTTCCTCCTTTTCTCTCCCGCTTGATTTTCATGTTGTTTCACGCCGTCGCACCTCTGTGCTCATGTTCCGCCTCCGACTTATGGCACGCATCCAGCGGAACCCCTCAAACGATGACATCGCTGACGGACTACGGCGGTAACGTCGTGGGTGAGGTTTCTCAATCGTTGGAGGCGTGTAGCAGGGCCGCTGATATTGCGGGGGTCCCGAGGTATGTATTGCGGGGTGTGGGGGGTAAACCAAAGGGCAAGAGAAAAAACATATACCATGGTATAGCACTACAAACTCGTGGATTTTGGTTGTACCATGGAACGCTCTTTTGGACGGAAAAAAACTTATCGCTTAGACTAGGTGTGAACGTTTGCCCATTTCGTGCTTAGGAAAATCAATCACTGGCCCACGCAGCACAGAGGGCGAAACAATGATGGCCATGAGGGGGAAATGGTCATGTTATGTATTGTTGTGCCGTGCTGGGAGATCAGGTTACCTCTGTGAGATGAGGGTGAACCGAGCGCCGTTGTAGCTGCCGGCGTATGCGGGAGGATCCCTTCATCAACATACTTTACCAGTGGACAGCGTGGTGGTTTGAAGGCGTGAAGCACCAGCACTCATGACTCCCTCAGATGCGATGTAATACTATTTCCCCCCATGAGTATGTATCTCTGTCCAAATGTCTAGACGTATTTGTTTGCTTTGTACACTATTGAACCTATACAAGTATATCTTGTGTTCAAGTGGAGGACATGGGCGGTGGAGGCGTCAATTCCGCCTCACACACGTTATCATCGTTATCATGTTTATCATCACGTACTGTATCATCCAATAATCTCGCGTGGAGTATCTAGACGACAGCGGTCAGATACTGTAGAATCCCTTTTATTTTCGATTCACATGTATCCATGTACTGTGAGTCTAGCGAGTTCGGTCCTCGTTCACAACCGAAATGGCGTGTTTCGGGCTGTTTTCGCTAAGTGAAGATATAAATTGTTTTTCACCCGTCTGAGGTCACAGGCTACCGTCAGAGACAGAAGCCGGTGCCGTTGCAATATTCTCCGAATGCCAAGGATGGCTATTTCCTTTCGTGACATGTAACGAGGAGAGAGGTAGAAAGAGTGACCAGACTCTCCGACGCCAATCCCGGCAATCGGCCAAAGACCCTGGAAGAGACAGATAGATCTCAACGATGTATCACTTGTCACTCTCCCGATGGCAAGTTACCCCGATGGATCGTATCCTCCTACTTTGTATGTGCACAAATGGTTGGTAATACTTCCGACAGGTGTCCTCCACACGTCGGACATTTACTATGAGAATCCGAGGTCCCGTGAAATCACGAACCCTAGTCTTCGGGGTATGTCTGTTTTTATGGCCCACAACCCAGCCCGTACCCCCCCCCCCCATCCCACTCACTTTGCGATCACGACGTTCAGGTGGATGCACGTGCTAAATCCGGGCATCGGATTTGCGAAGACGCACTCACAAAGGTCGGCCATAGTATAACTAGGCTATAATAAACGAAACTAGACTTTTCAGTAACACCCTTGACATGCATTTTGTATTGTACCTGTTTACTTCGAGGAAAAACAGAAAGGATTGAACCTGCTTACTTTGAGAAAGAGAACGAGATACTTGACACGGGTCTTGTTCGCCCTCAGGACGGTTTCTGGGTCAAGAGTACTTCGTGTTTCTTCTGTAGAATATCGGCGTTCTCGCCGTCATCAATCGCCCAGAACAACATGAGCTTGACGCCATGGGAAGTTTGTTTGTTTTGCTGCTGGTTCCAGTAGGAGCACAACAGCGAAGGTTAGATGATCATGATTGCTGACTGCTGCCATCACCACGTGTGCACCAGGGCCCCTCTCTCTCTCTCTCTCTCTCTCTCTCTCTCTCTCTCTCTTTCGCGGGCGCGCGCGAATGATGTCCGTAGGTTGTGTGGATGACTACAATTGTTACACCGGATGTGTTTCCGTGTTACCCATTCTCGTCCAGAGCATGCTGCAGCGCAGTTTGATCTTGACGCCATCCATCCATCTCCCCCCCCTCCACCCCTGCGCTGCTCGCTGGCTCACACCCTTTCAACCGGGCTTGCATTTATAAACGCTCCGAACGCCCCACACGTGCCTTTTTCGGATGGGTTTAAAATATTGCACCCTCTACACCTCAGCCTGCTCCTTATGCGTGAGCTAGATGTCATCGCCAAGCACGTGGGGAGCCCGTTGTTAGTGGGACCCAGCCGCAAGCGCTTTATAGGAGAGGTGAGTCAATCTTAAAAGTGTCAAGGAGTGCCATCGCGATGTGCTGTAGCTCGCCATGACGATGCGCGTTGATTCCATTCTTGGATGTCCGCTCGCGAAATATGTTCAGCCTTAGGCTTCAACCACTATCAGAGGCAAGAAAGAGGTTTCGAGCTGCCCCCTCCGGTGTTTCCTCAGGGCATGGAGAAAGCGTTTGTACCCCTGTGACAGCGTTTGAGAACTCAACCGTGTTGTGTAGGTACAAGATGAGAACTCGTGGAGATTGCTAGGCATTGTGGTGTTTATACTCCAGTATGGTATATTGGCAGACGACCAACGGTACCAGGGACGATGATCCGTCTCAAATAAGACGCGTGGTACATGGTCTGACAGAACAAGACACAGTATTGATTGTAGCAACTATTGTAGCACCCACGTCACCGGAACCACTGTATACCATGGCCACTACCATGCAGTCATCGCTCGCACATCAGACACGTCAGATATGGGCAGAAAAACTCGTTTTTGGCGTCAAAGATACGGCCAAAGAGCAGGAGTTACGGTACACAGCGTCTACAGCAGTTGAAGGGAAGTGAAGTGAAGGACCATCAGCGGAGCCGTTTCTGCCGACCATCGTCCTTGCCCTTACATTGCTCTACAGCAGTAGTCTAGGTGTGTTTCCTTGCCTCATTATTCTCGACAGAAATTCTTCCAACTTTGCACTTCACTGCACCACGCTCCTCTATCATCTTTACAATCCTTTCCATCGCCAAACGTTCCCACAACACCAACAGCTTCCACAACCGCCACCCCCTTTCGTGTCCTCCCTGCTGCATGCAGTTGACGTCCGAATCAGACCCGATCCAGCGAGATTGGGGTACGGTTGGGGCTTGCTGCTCGGCGGCCGAACGCGGGGCGAAACTAGTGCGGGTGCACAACGTTAAGGGTGCGGTTCTGGCTCTTGCCGTCTCGGATGCGATACGAAACGAGGGATGAGACGAGGACAAGCAATGAGTTCCATTGCTGGTCCCTCGTTGGTCTACTGATCGCATATCGTTTGTGATAGGGGGGGGGTGATACCGTGAGTCATTGTGGGCGAACGTGGTGTTCGTAGCGCAATCTGTTCCATGTATGTTCGCTGTTCTCGCCAGCGTCGGTGCTGGTACGGTTATGTTGTTGATGGTCGATCTCATCCAGTCTGGATGACGGATTGAAGGGGAAATATTTGGTTGTGTGGTCGGAGGGAAGAGATAAAACGGGCAGGGTGAGGGCAACATTTTGGTTCACGCACGTTGTTCACACTTCGCAGCCACATCGCCCACCACGCCGACCCCTGCAGATCCTACTTTGGGGATATGGAAGAGAGGGGTGGGGTTAAGATGGCGCCGTTTGTTTCTCTGTTGCGCTATGTGCTATCGATCTACGATACTTCAGTTGGGGGTTTCCATCGTTAGTTGTTGTTTTGTTGTCTTCACATAAATATCCGTTCCGTTCTCTCTGCCGAGTCCCTTCTTCTGTACAACTACATAGTCTTAACACTTGACGGGGTCGATTCCCGTGGTCACAGGCTAACTTACCCAAAAATGTATACTACAGTAGTAGCAGTATTTTCAGGAGTGAGTGCCAAAAGTGTCTTACAGTCTTGCTTTAGTCGGGTGTCAACGCCAAGCCGGGTTTGCGATTGCTCGCAAGGAATAACATATATTAGTCTACCTCAAAGACGTCTCAAATCGTGGGCTGTGACGACAAGTCACAATAGATTTCCGGTGGTACGTTTTTTACTCTATCCGGTATCCTATCCGCAGTACACCTGACACTACAACTATTCGCACCGGTACTATGTACTGCTGTAGGCTATTCTATGCATACAACACATAAAAAACGTGTTAATACGTGGAAGGATATGAATACCGCCGTTCGTTGCGTAAAGCTTCTTTCCTTTTGCAACGCGCACATGCGCTTCTCTCAATCAAGCAGGAGCAAGGGCATACAACAGAAAACACTCTTGAAGTCTTTTCAACAAACCTACAGCACGTATCTAAGGAGGTGGAAGGCGGAACACGACATGTAACATCTTGTTTCTCGTTGCCCAAAAATAAACCTGCGGAACCCCCAGGGGATGTAGAAATCCTCAACCGGAGCCCCCCAGACAGAGAAGACAGCCCGACACAGCAGACAGGCACAGGCACCATCGTGAGGCAGGGCCGGGAGTTATTCTGTGAAGGAACATTGAATGGCACCTGTTACGGGTTCCAGGTACGAGAAGTGTGGCTTTTTATCCTGACGATTTGCTGGGCATATAGACAACACTAAAACCCGACCCATTTTTGCGCGTCACACATCTCAACGAGTGCGGCTTTTCCTGAGTTGTACAGGCAGGGGCAGATCCGGCGTGGTGCCTCCATCTATCTTTCTCTTGCATCTCATCTCGCACACCAATTCAGCAAGTTGGCAACGAGACCAGGTGGACATTTCTCTGCTCTAGCTATGACGACACTGACACTGGTTTGTTTCTCCACGTTGATTCTCGCCGAGGTGCACCCTCGAGGGAGCTTTGTGCCGAGCAATCCCAAGAAACCAAACGGCAAACATGTTGTGTGTGCGATGCTTTCTTCAGTTTTCAAACCACTCCTCCTCTTCCCTCTTACAGCTGTTGACTGTTGACCAACATCATGACATGGTGCCGAGTCAACATGGTACACTGGGCGTCGACGGCGCTGGTCGCTGTGGTGATGTGTGGTTTGGCACGTGTTGCTTGAACCCTCCCCTCAGGCGTCTCCTGCGATAATCTACTTTCTCAGTCGTGTTGATGGTTTCAGCACGCCGCTGGTTCTCCATCGATACGTGCTGTTGTACTGTAGAGTCGGCAGTCAGTGATGTGGCTGCTGCATGGGAGTATAGCCCCAGCAAGGCCTCATTCTTTGCATGCAACCCACCCCATGGCGTTCCTCCTTCGTAACTGACCCCTCGACCGGTACGTAAACATGTACAGCAGTCTCATGTCTATTGCAGATGGCATGGCGACAGGCACATCGTTTCCTCTGTGATTATGAGAAGGACAAGCGATGGCGCAAAAGCACGTAGTCTACAATATGCCCACTGCTGTAGTTCATCCGCAACATGCTGTGGTCAGCGAGCAGCCCTATGTACACGTCGTACAAGTCACTTGTCTTGTGCCTTTCCTCTCTCTCTCTCTCTCTCTCTCTCTCTCTCTCTCTCTCTCTCTCTCTCTCTCTCTCTCTCTCTCTCTCTCTCTCTCTCACCCCGTGTGCACCCACATGTTCTTCCTCACTGCCGGCCTCCTCTCTCTGCCTCTCTGCCCTCTGCCCCCCCCCGTCCCTCTACGAATATGTACCCAATCGAAATTATTTGCTCTCGCTCTTCTCTTTCCCTCCCTCCCTCCCTCCCTCCCTCCTTTCCTTCGCAGGAAATGTCGAATCCGGGGGTGCCAGAGGAAGACCCTTTTCGTTGGTCCTGCTGACAACGACCCTGCCGCTGCCACTGCCACTGCCACAACCATCGCCGGCGAGGCAACTCACTGCGCCGACCACTGGCCCGCTGGATTCAGACCCCCGCCGCAGGAGACCGTCCTCCCGCAGGACGGCGGTTCCTCGCTCCAAGACGGGCAACAGGTCACCCACAGCGCCGACCACAGAGGCAGCGGCACCGGAGGGGGCAACACCTTGCTCGGAAGGCAACAGGCGGCTGCTGTGGGCAACGTCGGTGAAACCGCTGCCGGCGGGCGCGCGGGCAAGGGCAAGGGCAAGGGCAAGGGCAAGGGTAACGGGGGCAGCTCCGTCTCCGCGAGGCCTCGCCGCGCGTCCGGGTCCTTGGCTTGCCGAATCCCGGGCTGCGGCAAGCGCGCCACCCACGGCCCCCCTGCCGAGGCCACTCGCTGCGCCGCCCACAAGGAGAAAGGGCAGATCGACCACAAGCACCGCCTGTGCGAGAACACTACGCCCAAGCCCTGCCTAAAGCAGCCCTCCTTCGGGTGGCCGGGGGAGTCTAGGAAGAGGTTCTGCAGCGCTCACCGCCCGGCAGGCACGGTGGACCTCAGAAACTGCGAGCAGGCGGGGTGCGGGACGAGAGCGTCGCACGGGTTTGGGAAGGGCAGGGCTCGCTTCTGCGCGTTGCACAGCCCGCCGGGCACCTCTCTTGTGGCCAACAGGGTGAGACAGAGGTTAGGCGGGGGGGATGCGGGGGTGGGGGGGGAGAGAGAGAAAGAGAGAGAAAGCGCGCGAGAGAGAAAATATATATGACAGACAGACAGACAGACAGATAGAGGTAGACAAAGAGAAGAGGAGGGAATACGGGACGGCGACCGGGTGACATACGCATACTGTCCATGCGGCGTTTGGAAGAGGTCTCAGGCGTATTTCAAGTGTGTACCATATGTGTGTGCGGTGTCATCAAATTGTGTGTGTTAAATCAATCACCCAGGGCCTCGATCGCAGCCTTGAAGCGCATTCTGTTATTGCTTGTTAGTGTGTTTGATACCGCGCAAAAGCCGTCGCTTGAAGGTCATGTTGGTGCTTTTTTTGACGGGGCATGCCTCTCTCTCCCGCGCCCGCTCCCGTCGGTACGTGTTCGCGAATCCCTCACGAAAACCAGCCATGCGAGAAGGAAGGTTGCACGGTATCTCCGAGGTTCGGCGATGTTGGAGGAAAGCCTCGCTTCTGCGCCTCGCACAAGGAAACGGGCATGGTCAACCTCAAGGACAGGCGCTGCGAGCAGCACCCCTGCACGATACAGGTAAGGGGAAAACAAGGCACCCGCATGTCTTGTCGTTCGAGTTGGAACAGGCGAGGCGAGCACAAGCAAGCAAGCAAGCACTACCGTTGTTGCCCGACGACTACGCTGCTGCAGCGCGGTCGCCTTCAACACGGCAGGTTGCCTCAAAACACGCCACCACCTCGAAGCTGAACACTGATGCCGCGCACCGACACCGAAGACCTAACCCAAACCGTAACCCCAAGGGTCCCCAACAAGCCATGCTACGGCAAGGCATAGACTCGCCGGCCGTCAACCATGGTTAATACAGCGCTTCCGTTGATTTCGTTTCCGATTTACTGTTGTTCTCGCTTTCCCCTTCCCCCGCAACCAACGTCCCTATTTGTTACCGACCAGCCGACGTTCGCTCTCCCCGGAGAGAAGCCCCGGTTCTGCTCGAAGCACAAGGCCGAGGACCACGTGAACGTCCGCCACAAGCTGTGCCGCCACCCGCAGTGCAAGCTGGTGCCCACCTACGGGATGAGAGGCACCCGCGTCCCCGTGGCCTGCCTGGAGCACAGCGAGGGGGAGATGGTGGACCTCAAGAGAGAGAGGATGCGGATGGCCCAAGCGAGAAAGAAGGCGCCTGCGGAGGCGGCCGCTGCAGCGGGAGCGCGAACGATGGAGGCGCTGGTGGAGCAGGGGGCGGCGGAGCTAGCGGGAACTACGGTGGCGGGGAGAAAGCGGGCTAGGGCGAGCGGCGGCCTGGGCGGGAACCGGGAGATCGGGCGAAAGATCATGGACGCGATCTTTACATCGTCACAGCTAGTGTTGGAAGCAGAGGGGGCAGCCGCCGCAAATGACGAGTCGGAGTGGGAAGAAGGGTCTGCGGAGGACAAGGAAGACGAGGAGGAGGCAGAGGAGGGGGACAGAGGTCCGGGCATGAGTTTCCACCTGCCACCGCCGAAGCTGCCGGCACCCCTCTCCGCGCCCCCGCCACCGACGCCGGCACTCTCACCTGGGGTTGTTCCTCGGACGTGTCCCGCTCCCCAAGCGGTGGGCATGGTACCCGATGTGGCGGCCGTAGGTTGTGCAGCTCAACCGGAGGCCGTCGCAGAAGAAGAACGGGGACAGCCGGCCGGAGAGCGGGTTGCGCTGTCCGGCTGTGCCGGCGAAGCATCCGTCGGTGCCGGTGGTGGGGCAACGGTAACCAGCGGTCGGGAAGGCGGGAGCGGAGATGGCGGCGGCGAGGGCAAGAGTGGAGAAGACCGTAGCACGACACGGGCAGGGGGCGAAAGGGGCAGAAGGAGGAGCAGTAGCAGAGGGGCGCAAAGCTCCTCGCCCTCCAACTCTCGCTGTCTCATCGGTGTTAGTGCGGGAGAAGACGCGGCAACGGCAACGGTAACGTCGGTTCCGGCAGCGGCCGTTGGGGGCACTGCGAACACCCCGAGCCCGAAGGCAAAGACACCCGCGGTGGTTGAGGTGGGGGTGGAGGCGGTGCCTGGACGGGGGTTAGAGGGAGCGATGATCACTCAGCAGCAGCAGCAGCAGCAGCAGCAACTGCAGCCGATCCCGATCCTTGAGGAGATCGGGATAGGCACGAGCTTGACCTGGATCTGCGTCCGGTGCGGTGGGGTGGTTCCTCCGAACGACCGGTACGTGCTGGTCTGCTGTGGCTACGGCGTGCTTCATCAGGAGTGCACGGCCGTCTTCGTGCGCCCCGCCATCGGCGTCAGGCCCTCTCCCTGCCCCAAGTGCTCCAGACTCGTCGGTTCCTGCCTCCAGGTGTTCATGTAGTTGGCGCCTGAGAACTTGGTGGTTTTCGGCTGGTAAACGACGAATTTAGCGCTATCTCGGGGCTCTTGATGGATTGTTGACCTCTTCTTGAGTTACGTAGTTCGTGCAATGTTTCTCTTGAGATGTGAATTGATATTTTCGCAACACGGCTTGGGGGCCATCAAATCCGAGTTCCCCGATATACCTGGCTTTGCTCGACGGCAGGTGCGAGAAGTCGAGATGGTGTGTTGCTTAGTCTATGCTCCACGGGTCTCGCGTGCTGTAGAGGCCATAGCAGCGCAGCCATGTGTGCCTGGCGAATTTGTTTTCTCTATTGCTGCGTCGATCGAGCGCAGCATGTTTTTACCCAGGGAAGTATTTTCCAAAGCATGAGCGAAGCGAGAATTCAGGAGGGGGACAAAACACGTCTGTCTGGAGTATGAAGGAATAGGATTGGTTTGGTTTATTGGGTGCTGGTGGGAGTCGTCGAAAAAATGGTGCAAGCTTTGGCCAGATTGGATACCGTACTCTTTTTTGTTTTAGGCTTGACAACGACTGACGACTTCGAAACAACACGTTTGTCAGTTGACGAAGATGTCGCCGCTGTTGTATCTTGTTGGATTGTAGGGAGAGAGAGAAAAAGTTATGAATAGAGAAAGCGTGTTTCGTGTTGTGAAGTGTTTTTATTTTCAAATGTGATAGAAATTAAGGAATAATAAAAACACACACAGAAAGACTACCCATTCGAGATATACCCACAGTCGAACATGCAGCAGTTAGACGAAAATATCATCTTCCTCCCAGTCTTCTTTTCAACTGAAAAACTTGAGAGTGAATGAATTCGAGAGATTTGAGGGAAAAACTACATGCAGTTGAAGGCAGAGCGCTCATGTATCACGGCACATCTACTACTGCTGTACGGGTGATTAAAAAGTTCGGGTTCTTTATCGTGACGAACGCCCAGATTTCTACCCTCAACATTAATTGGTTTGCTCAAGAAAAGGTGGCTGGTGGGATAGTTGGTATCCCCGCACCCTTCTTGGATCCGCGTTTGGGACGTGGGCTCCAATCTCGGCGCAGTCACTCGAATAAATACACATTGTTTTCCCCGATAGCCATGCGTGCCTACCCAAACAACGTGCGTGCTGTTTTTAGCACAAACTGCAAATAAATCAACACATGCCTTCGATTGGGGGTATTCTCTCAAACGGCGATTCTCTGTGATGGTAGTCTAGACCATCACTTCGATTGGGCGTATTCTCTCAAACGGCGATTCTCTGTGATGGTAGTCTAGAGACGGAAGAATTACAGCAGTAAGTAGTACTAGGTTTTCACTCGTTTGCTCACACCCCGTTCACACCACATGATGATATACCAATGTACGCCGTGGTTTGTATCCACATGCTCCCATAGAAAATTAGAAAATAGGCCGGGGCCTAGATAGTATACTTCTCACATCACAAAGAGACCACAGCACCTGTTGTTTGTAGACGATCCTCGGAGAGCGTGTACAAACATGTTCACTTTGGATGAATTTCATTCAGATGACCCATGCGATACGCGCTGGATTGACGACGAAGAGCATGGACACTCACACACACTACTCGTAGTAAGCGCAATGCATCCGTTTTCGAAAACTCTCGACAAGACGGTTCCTTCCATCGTTCCAACGCTGATATGTTCGGAACCGTCACTCTTTCTACTTGATACTAATCCACGTAGCTTTGAACGGGTAGAGGGGGTGTGATCTCTCATGTCACCTCGGCGGCATCTACTTGTTCATTTCTCCGCCGAGAAAAAAAAGGTTCCCCCTCGTCGTCCGAGAAAAAAAAAAGTGAAACCGTCATTTTCGCATTCGCGTGACATGTTCGATGTCGAGGTGGTCCGAACCACAACCTCAGCAGCCAAAGCAGCTCGCCACCGGCGTAACCTCATCCTAATCTTGCTGGCTGTATGGACGACGTTAAGCGGCAGCATCGCCTACAAGTGAGATTGTTCTAGGGACTCCATGGCTGTGGCTGCTTGCATGTTCGAGCGTTTGAGCCGGGGCTGCTTGTCGGGGCGGAGTGAGAGCAGACCGGACCTCCGACACAGTAGTATTCAGCAGCTTTCTACACAGCACCTGCTGTACCGTTGCACCTATCCCTCGGACCCACTGCTGCCCGCTTCCTCGTGGTAAGTCCAAGGAGCTCATGGTAAATCAACCCACCTTGTCGGCGTTGTGTGGTGATGATGGGGTGAAACAGATGGGCACCAAGAAGACCAAGAAGATGCGAGGTTCGCGAAAACGAAACATCGACGTCGATCCTGCGCAAAAAAAAGTCACGATTGCGACGTGGAACGGGCACCGCGGGCGAGGCGGCCGGACGAGCACTCCGCCGGAATCGCAGGAGGACCCGGCTCAACCTCCTCGTCGTCCTTCCTCCTTGACATCGGGTACAACACCGCTGACGACGACGACGACTTCGACGAAGACGACAACAGCACGAGTATCGCAGAGAGAAAGGGATGGAGCCGGAGGGGCTGCCGGAAGGAATCGCTACCCCACCGCTAGTGGTGGTGCTCAAGCACCACCAACTGGTAAGATGAAGCCCCCTCTTACGCTAGAGGAGCTGTCCGAGGGTATGCTAACGGAGGAAGCCATCCGGGTGGCGGCGGGGAAGGCGACGACACGACAGCTACGAGACGTCTCAAGGCTCCAAATCGTGATCGACAGCTCGAAGGTCAGCGTTGAAAGCGTGTGGGACGCGGTGCCTAAACTCCACACCCTAACTCTTGACGGGAGTCGCCTCGAAAGCTTTCGTGACCTCGGGGTGGGCCTCAGGCACCTCAACACGCTGTCCTTGGAGTCATCCTGCGTGGAAGATTTGGACGGGATCGGGGCATTGTCTGGCCTCCGCGAGCTGCGCCTGGCGCGGAACCGGGTATCGGACGTGACTCCCCTGGCTTGCCACGGGTGCTTGCAAGTTTTGGGCCTTGAGCGGAATCGTGTCAGCGACATGAAGGCGCTGGAGATTCTGAGCTCCTTGCCTCTTCTATACAGGTGCATCTACATATGTCGGTCGCACGCAGTAGTACTGCAAGTGTCGCGAACAGCGAGAGCAGGCACTACTACTGTTCATGTTGCCCGTCTACGTGTGAAAATACACGTTGGGTTCGACAAACATCGTCTCCCCCCTCTCATCGGTATCTGCTGCATTCCCTAATTGTAGCATTTGCGCCGGGAACGAAGTGGGCTGTGTAGTTGTTGCAGTCATAGCTTCGAGTCGAGTGTTTCTGTAGGTTGATGGTGAGGTCATCGCACTATGCTCAATTCACCGTGTCGAATGTACGCCAGATCAAGCATGTGGGAATATTCTTGAGTAGCATCCCGACAGCCCGTTAAGTGAACAGATCATTCTGGAAACGAAATCAAATCTGAGTATTGGTGCGGTTATTGCCGAGAGAAAGGTTTGCAAATAGTTGCTCATGGAAACATGGGGGAATCTGCCGTAGTGACCTATGAGAGATGGACAAAGAGTACGCGCGCGCCCTATCATCCCGTGTCACAAAAAGCGCGTTTGCGGCCGACCTAAACAGCACCCTGCCGACGCTGAAACAGGTTTCAAAGCTTAAGCTTTTTGGCGGGCTCCCAAGATGTACTGTACCCATCCTTACCCTGCGCATGCGAATATTGTTGTTCCCCCCGCTCGCCACCACAAATACATGCCGGCTCGATCAGCCTAAACGTAAGCCAGAACCCTCTCACGGAGTCCCTGAGCAAGCTTCGCGACGGGAGAGGGAGAGGAGTGGTGCGCCAGCTCATCCCTCAGATAAGAGTCCTCGATGGCATCCAACTTTCCGGCGGGGAGAGCGGCGCGGTCGACGCCCAAACGTTGGATGAGGCCGTCGACCTCATCTGCCGGGACGCGTCTCGCGCTCGTGCGGCCTGGTCCGAGGAAGGCGTAACGGAGGCGGCGGCGGCGGCGGCAGCGGCAGCGGTAGGGACTGCATCAACCGCGACGACCATCAAGGTTGTTCAGGAAGATCGATGGCGACCCGACGGAGTTGGCAAAGATGAACGCCTCCCGCTCGCCGGGTTGGATAGTTGTTTTTCTCGATCTTCTCGATCACCTACAAAGCCAGGGGTGGCGACGGTGGCGGGGTTGGGCGGAGGCGGGTCCCCGATACCACCGCAGCTGGTGCCCGATCAAGGGGGAGGCATGCACTGGGATAGTGACTTGACTCAAGGGGGGCGACAGGCACTATCTGGGAACCCAAGGTGCGCTTGGCTCCGCTGTGTTTTCTTCTTGTGTTGTGTCGACAAACGTTTAGAATAAATGCATTTCTGTAGTTTAAGCAACGCCTTCGATCAATGGTATTCAGTTCCGTCGTACGCCGGCTGGAGGAAGGAGGCAAGTTGAAGTGCCCAGGTTACTATCCAGTGCTACTTGAACGGGAACACCATTAGGTTGAGGCCATCAAGCCAGGATTGAGGCCAACTACCCCAGGGGACTACTGTAAGAGGAACTTCCTCAATCCTGAATACGTGTGTACTGAATGGAGGGAGCTCTACAGTCGGAAATCAGAGCAAAAGCAGCACTCAACAACTGGAGGAAAAAGAACGGGTTAAGCTAAACGGGGATTACATATACAATCTGTATTCTTCAATACTCCAGACGTGTGACCACGTTCCCAAGCACTCTTCGTCGTCCGCTATCTGGTGTGAGTTCAATGGCGAATTAACCCTTCCGACTGCTCTTGTGTCGTGCAGCTCTGCGATTCGAAGGCACCAATGCAGGGGAGGGGCGGGCAACGGTCGGAATGAACACACACCAACACGGGTGCTGGAAACGTTAGACCTTGCTAAGGTCATGGAGAAGGGATTGAAACAGAGGTGAGAAGAGAATCATCACCCTCGCGACGGTGCGTGCTGCATTTGTGATGGAAACAGGTTGTGCGGTACTACTATGGTCTAGATGACGGCCGCCAATGATGAAAAGGTTATGCGCACGAAATTGCAGAAGGCCTGGAAACCACGGTACCCGACGCGTAGAAAGGTACTTGCGGTCATCATCTATTTCACACGCTGAACTCGTAATTGTTCCGCGATCTCCCGCAACAGGCACAGCACGCAGCAATCGGCAGACAGGGTGTCGGAGTGGCGGAGAGAAACAAACTCCGATTCCTTCCCTCAAGAAGAAGACCCTTCGTATGAGCCGCTCGACGAAACTGCTCCGCCTTCACCGCTAGCACTAGAAGCCTTACCTCTTTCTTCGTCGAGCGCTGTCGAGGGTGGGTTTCACCGTCGAGCGGGACTAGTCGAAGGCGGACGTAGGGATAGCGATATCCTCGCAACGAAACCAACAACGACGTGGGCATCGTTGACGACAAGTGTGGCCAACCCCCCGAAGTCACCAGCAGCAGCAGCAGCGGCAGCAGCTGTCGACGATGGCGTGAGGCAAAAACTGTCGGCGGGGAAGGGAGGGACGCGAGCCTCGTCCGGCAGGCCGTGGACAAGTGAAGGCGATATCGGGGCTAGCGGCAGGGGCGGCGGGAGCGCGAGCGTCACGAATCAATGGCGCGCGCCACCTGGACAAGAACAACACGGGGGCGCCGTGGGCGACGATAGAGGGGGGTCCGGAGGGAGAAGGAGGGGAGGGGATGGGGAGCCGGAGGCGCGGCCCCATCGGCGCCGTCGCCGCCCTCAGACGGCCAAGGAGGCTCCCGGGAAGCGATGCATGAATGGAGGAGGAGGACGTTTCGACAGCGAACAAGACGAGACGTTCCGGAACTACAGGAACGCCTGCTGGCAGCCGGTGTGGGAGTCGCTCCAGACCGCACGGTTGATCTCCTCTCCGAGGCTCTTCCAGACCACGAACAAGAGCGTGGCAGCAACAAACCCGGCAGCCGCGGCCGGCGTTGAACGGGGTGGTTCGGGAGGCGGGCCTGCAACGCAAGCTGGCGATGGGATGGGGCGGAAAATTGGTAGCGTCGACTTTGGGCGGCAGAGGCGGGCGAGAGCGACGGTGAGAGCTTCCCGGGTAGGGGATGATGCAAACTATCTCGACCTCGACGAGTCTGACGGAGCGAGTTCTGCCCGAGACGAAGGGGAAGGGGCCGGGAGCAGCGGCGGTGACGACGCCCAGGAGGCCGACGACAGAACCGAGATCAAGAAAAGGGCGTCGGGTTTCTGTTCGCCTGCTTCTAAGGCGTCCGGTGGGAGCGGAATCGCCTCTCGTTTATCCACCGCTAGATCCCGCGGCGTCCCGACGTCGTCTTCCTCCCCGTCGGCGGTGTTACCGGCGGAGGAGGAGGCGGCAGCAGCATCGGCCGGGAGCACGGTTGCTCGCGAGCTGAAGAACGAGGCCACACCGCAGCAGCCAGGAGATAAACCTGTAGAGGGCAACAGCAGTGGCCGACAACCTCCGAAGGCCCGGCGGAGAGAAGCCGCGAGTTTAGTTTCGCGCAGATCGCTGCAAGTCATGGACGACACGAGTAGCAGCGGCGGCGGCAGCGACAACAACAGCAGCGAGGATGACGGAGACTGCTGCATCAGGAGAGCTTTCAAACTGGCAGCGTCGGGCAGGAAAAAGAGCGTTCGTCACACGGAAGATGGTCGCCGTGGGAGTTGTAGTGGTGCGGGTGTTAGTGTTGGTGCAAGCGCTGCTGTTGGGAGCGACGGCGGGGGAAGGGATGGCGGTAGTAGTAGTAGTACTGGTGGATTCAGCCCGTCACCAAATAGGGTCACGTCGATTCACGCGAGCCGTATGCTGGGGTTCGACCTGCAGAGGTCTCTGGCGGCGATCGAGGAGTGGACTGACAAGGCCCCGGCGGCGGCGATTATCGGCGGCGGCAACCACTGTGCGAACACTCCGCGCCAAGAGGCGCCGTACGACCTCAGAAAAAATCGGCCAGCGCCGTTCTTCGTCGAGCACACCGCTTTCCCTTCCCCTTCCCCTTCCGCAAGAGGCACAGCACCCTTCTCCTCACCCCCTGTCAAATCGAATTTGCTTGCCGGGCGAGAATCCGAAGGTGGTGGTGGTCTGTCGAGCACCGTGATATCCGATAGCAGCATGATGCCACAGACAATCGACCCCAGAGCTCGGGCGAAGGCGACGGTCGTCCCCGATATCATTGCCATTACACAGACCGACGACAGCGACGACGGGGAGGCTGTGCTAAGCGTCGCCGCGGCGAGAGCAGCGCTCGGCATAAGCAAAGGGGTCACCGCCGCCGCCCTCACTTGCACAACCCCACGGAGCGCGCGTGCATGGGTTGCTCCAACACCGGCCGAGATAGACGCGCTCACCGCCGAAGGAATCGACGGACGCGTTGGTCTCGTCCCCTCCTCCTCCGCGACTCAAGCGTGTGCCTCCAAGCGGTGCGAATACGGGAGCAGCCAGGCAGGCTCGGCAGGGCCTTCAGCAGGCGTAGCCGTAGGAATTTGCGACGAGGACCTCAAGGAGATGCTCAAGAAGCAGCCCCGGATGGTGCCGGAGCTCCGCACCAAGGAGCACTTCAGGGAGTTCTTCCAGGGCATGGGGGCCGAGAGGATGGAGCGACTCCTCCGAGGGGCGTACGAAGACTTGCCGCCGGACCAGGTTGACAAGAAGGTCAAGAAACGCCTCGGGCTTGTGGGCGACAAGCTGGCGTGGTGACGGGGCACGAGCCGCCCTCGCAGCCGTGAATACTGTGCGTGCTTTTAGACTACTCCTCCTGTGTTCTTCGTTAAATCACGGGGTCAGCTGTAGAAAGAGTAGTGTGCTCGTGGGTCACCTATACGTGCTCGAAGTCCCGAAGAAACAGTATTTCGCAGGAACACAACACCGTTGTCTCGAGCTGCTGCATGCTGGTGGAGTGGTGCTTTGTTTTCGTTCTGACTTTCCAGCGTTGTAGTCGTGACCATTGTAGATAGATTTTTACGATGTTGGGTGATGATGTAGCAGGCTGAGTGTGACGCCTTCGTCCCCGGTAACTAACGTGTCCCCAACACTAGCATTCTCTGCACTCCCTCCACAAGCTAAGGAGCATGTCCCAGTCCGATAACGACGTCTCCACTCCTCATTGTGGGAGTACTTCTTCCATCTTCCCTCTTCCCTTCCGACAGCTTTTTTTAGGTTTAACATACACACGTGGGTGGGTTCTAAATGCGTGTGGTATCTCTGTGTTGTGACACTCGTCCCAGATTCTGCTGAGCGCCCCCCCCCCCCCCCCCCCCCCCCCCCCCAACAAAAAATGCCCCCCCAGGGAAATCGCCCCCAGGGGCTATGCAAAATTTTTTTTCCGGGGGAAGCGCCCCCTCCCATTTTTGCGCGGTTGCCTTTTTTGTGTGCCCAGCCCCCCCCCCAAAAACCTTTAAAAAACCCCCAAAATCCTCTGGGGCCCACCCGGCCGGGGGCCCC